GAACTTAAAGACATGAAACCTATTTTAGGTTATTTGAACTTAAAATACAGCTGAAGTTTAAGTAAAATATCGTAAGGAAATCTGGACTTTATAAGTTGGAAATCGACGATCCTCTTTGAGCATACGTATCACCACGCTTGCTCAATGCTCATACTTTTTCTAGTGTGTGAATAGATCTGGTTTCAACAGTGGAATCCGTACAGACAGATAATGATGGTGATAGAACTATAATAAAATATGGTTTGTTTGAACATTGAACTTATGTCTTTCTAGTGTCTTTTTTTTTTCTTCGTAAAAAAATTACCCTTGCTTTGATATTAAGATTTTCTTTTGTAGTGTTAGGTTCATTTTAAAACGCAAAGTAGTATACATACAGTATTGAAAAGTTCGAATCTGTTCAGTTAAGAAGTTTTTTTGCTTCTGGTCCTATCATCTAATTCTAATTGTTGGGTAAGGTTATGGTCAATGCTTATCATACCGCAACGAAAAGAGCAAAAACCTAGTACGAGATACATTTCGTTCCACGTGCTTAATTACTTACTAAAATGTATTCAAGACAAAGTACTCATTAAATTAAATCGACAAATTAAATCTTATTATCTTCTATTGTCATTGAAAAAATGTTCTTAAACAATAGCAGATAAAAGCTGAGTTTTACGACTTGCCGATATTATATCTTGTCAAGATATTTTCTTATTTTTCTTGTTCATATTTACGTAGTTTCTTATTGTATAACAATTGTCGTAACTATAATTGCCTTACATTACGTATATATACTTCGTACCCTTATGTAAACATAAGATGTTAAAAATAATCGGGTTTCGACTTTATCTCCTAATAAAGGTAGCAGAGAACAGCCTAATAAAACAATTTCAAATTGCAACCTTAACACTTATTGCCGTATAACATATCTTTCTAGTTAAACATATCAGTTAAAGTCAAATCATTCATATCAAAAAGATTATTATAGCTGTTTAAACGTCAAACAAAATATTAATCAAATGTAAAAAGTAGAGTGTCAGACTGTCAGTCTGTCAGTCGGCCCTCTAGTGAAGCTTTTTGCTAGTCCCAAAATGTTGATTCCCATGGAGATCGATCAAGAAACTCCGTTTTCAAATACTTTTCTCTTGCTTAATAGAATATACATGTACAGCAAATACATAGCACCTAATATTATCAATATATCCATGTACTTTCCCAAGACACCGATGGCTTTCATCATAACCCAATTTCGTTCCCTTTACCAGCACCTCGACTAATGCATTTATCCTTGAGCACGGCACCACTTAAGGTTCTGACGTCCCCTGGATCTCTAATTGTGTTACTTGGTTCTGTATTAAAAGCTTTCTTATGTAGTCTCAAGTAATTGTCCCATATTCTGGCTTGTTTTAAGTGTAGGATTAGAAATTTGTGCTGATAGACCTGATTTAGTTTTGTAATGGTCCTTTTTCTGTCATTTAAGGAGGTTTGGTCTTGGTACTGATTCAAATTGTGTTATGATTTCTCAACAAAATTACCCTTTATTTTTCTGAAGACAGTGAATATCCTTTCAATCCCTTTTTCCCCGTTTCATCCTCAAATCCCCAATCTACAAATTGCCGCAACGCACTTCTTGTAATCGATTTGTTGCTACGGGTGTCTATGGTGGGCGCCGCTTAACACCAGGTAAACAAATACTCATTTGCCGACATATACTACCTATTCTAACTATACAAAAAACTCTTCAACATCATAAACTGCGAGAAAAAGCCCTACCAAATATTCGACACCAGATCGCACAAAGATTAAATAATGTGAATGTATTAAATTTGAAAATTAATAATATCAACTATTATCAAGCCATGAAGCAGATTTACAAGTTATATCACCACACATCTCACTCGCTCTAGTCTTTCACCGTGAGCTGCTAATTAAATTAATTAGTCGACCGCAGCGATGTAATACGGAACACCTGCGGTTGACACGTGCTTCTAAAGATAATACAGATTGTGCTGCAGAAGCACCACTCAGATATTCCAGACGATGCGATGATTGTTCTTAGATAGCTAAAACGCCCTTTTACATTCAGTTTTAACCGAATCAAAAATGTTTCTCAGCTTATTCTTTCATTTTGGTATTACATATATTTGATGTAGTCGCAACTTTAAGCTTAATGATCCAAATAAGTCCCTTTCATTTTGTTGTAGAAATCAAGACACATTTTCGCCCCTTCTAACGCCAAATGAATAATGAATTCTATCTCCATAATTTATTACTACTACTAGACAAAGTCATTAATATTCAAATTATTCTACGAAACTAAAACCCTAGACACCATCTTACTCTTTTTCGTCTCTCTTATACTAATATACTCATTGACCTAAATTAATGGAAATAATTCTTGAACACAAAACGTAATTAAACATTCCTCTTTAAAATCTAAATCGTCTATAGCGTTTTCATCTTCATAAGTAATTGTGCCGTTTGGAACTGACTATTAATTTTACTATACGCGCGGTCGTTAGTTGAATGGTTCGCATTTAGTCCCACGTTTAAACCCATTTGTTTTAGCGTTTACAACTTAATCTGGCTAATGTAAATTATTGAAGAACGATTCTATTAGATTTCGCTTTGTGTTTATTACAATTACGATCTATTTTTTCATTATCCCAGAACTTTGGTCACAGTTGGCTTTATTTCTTCATTTTTATGTTTGTTTTTTGCTTTTGCACCATCCATTGTCTCATCTCTGCCTCATCCAAAATCTGCACTAGTTGAAAATGTCTAAGTCTGTCTTCGCAATTGAATTATAAATACATTTAAAACTACAATTCGAACTACGTATTTGGAAATATGGAAAGTCTATTACGGTGTTGCACCACAACGTTTCCAATTTCCATTTCCAATACATAACTTGAATAAGATACACATACACCATAAATTCAATGTATATGTCAGTTATTGGAAGCCGATCCAACTCTCTAGGGTCCTCAAATGTACCGGGAGCGTCGATTGCAAATTGGACGTCTCACTCCAATTTGTCATGTACAAGTGCTACTCTAGTGACGGAGAAATCGCAGGACGTCCCGTGTCCCGCCAATTCCCGGCCTCTTGATAAAGTTAAGAGTATGTGGGTCAGACATGGATAAATTGCTCACAGGAATTGGAGCGTGGAGCTCGAAAAAATTGGTTTAGGAAATGGAAAAATTGATTATTTTATACTGATTCCGCAATAATTTTCTTTTTCAATTGATACAATTTTGGTGTCATACAGCAACTCTTGCAGGAGGCAGTCGGTCAAGTTTCTTCATCCAACATTAAGAATCTTTATCCAACCTTATCACCCTGGCTTTCCTAAACTGTCTCATCATTGTCCTTTAAGTACTTTAATACTTAACTCTCTTCATCATTTCGGCATTCAATTTTCATTAGTATTATCCTTCAACCTTTATTTCCCACACGGACTAAATCAAAATATTTACTCACAAAATAGTTTTTATTAAATGATACAACATTCCCAGGAACAAACAGCACTAGTGTAAACTGTTTTCACGATCCAATGGGATTGGTCCGCAGTCCGGAGTCCACAGCTCTATTTTATTTTCATTCTGCAGTAACTGCGAGTGTTAATCGAGTTTCGTTGATTGCGGTCTGTGACGCAGCAATTATAACACTACATTTTATACGATGAGATTTTTTATTTTTAAAAGGATTGTTTACTATATTTTTGTTCCTCTCTTCTACAAAATTGTTGTCTGAAGTATCTTGATCATCTAGACTCGATACTTCGCTAATGATGTCGATGCCTTCATTGTCTTTAATTTAAAAACCTAGTGTTCAGCTTTACAGTTGCGTGTCAAGGTAAGGACGTAGGTCTTTAGGTATTGCTTCACAGGCTATAATGATTAAACTTTTATTGACATTCTTTCGACATATCACGAACGCTTCATGTTTCAGCCAATCACGGTTTATTTTTGAGTTAGACCTAGCTATATTAATAGCTACAATAAGTTCTCAACATGAATCTATGCTATCATTCTACAAGTCTACAGAATCATTCACAGTGTGAATATTATCTTTATGGCATTCAGAATCACCTGAGCTGAAAGTGTGTCATGACAAAGCGACAGGTCATTGACCTACAGACGGACTTACACTGCTATCTACAATGTTACTAAATGTATCATTTTTGTTTTCTATGTCATGTACAGTATGATTGTAATTTGTGTTATGAAGGTAATTGTTATACTCGTAGTAGGTTTTTTTTATTGTTAATTTATTAAATAAATTATGGGTTCGTTTGGTAATATGGATAGAAGGAGTTAATAGATAAAGATTGTGTTTAGGAATTAAGTCCAGAATGAAATATTTCACAATTCTATAAATGGCATTTTGGTAAAAATTTGTTTGTGCCACAGCAATGTGAGATTTGGCGTACATGATCAAATGCAGAAGAAAACTTTATTTAAAGCAATTTCTACCATTTTGTGATAAATGTTATCATTTCTTTCAAGCACTTCTCATATTAAGTACCTGGCAGTCTCCGTAGCTATAACTAAAATCCATAACTGTTTTTTGGATTCGTAACAACCAACTATTTGGCAGTACGGCCAAAAATGCTAAAGCATGTATATTGTTCAACACTATACGTAAATTGCACGTAACCCATAAATAAAAGTATAAACTACACATATATTTGATTTCATAATTTCTATTTCCAGAACAAAATAAAAATTCCATTGCCTTATCTATGGAACAGTATGTTCTGTACTTCTATTATTGGCTCTTGATTTCTGCCATGGTCGTACCGCGGTACCAGGGCAATAAGTAGCCTGTGTATTATTTAAGATTTTGGGTAATCACTGTGCCTTATTTCATTAAGATCTGACCAGTAGTTTTTACAATAAAAAGAAAGAAACATCTATCTAATCTGACCAAAAATAGCAGATAAAAATCAGAGCTTTTTTATTTAACGTCAGTCTTGATAAAAATATTAATGGTTTGCATTTCTTTGTCCACAGAGGAAGAATGCTACCACTGCATGGCGAGCTTGGTGGCGTCCAAGGAAAAGATGTTTATCACACAAACGAAACTACTCAACGAAGTTACATGGAAGACTGTTATGCAGATCGCAAAGAAACATGCCGTAAGTTGAAATTTCAGATAGCCTCCTTTATAACAAACCCCTCAATTCTTAATGGTGTTGATGATGCTAATGGGGGAAAATGAGTTCCTATTTGTCCAGCGTGGAATTTTCTTGTTATCTATGTTGGATAGTCAACTTTCACAGCCACAGATATTGGGCAAATAGGACCTCAAACTTCAAGAAGGTTAGCCCAGTCAGAGTCATTCAATACTTATTCAACCCAGTCTTTTTTGGAACAAAATCTAGGAATAGATTAAGTTATTTGACTCCAAGATCATATCTTCAATACAGGAAAATTTCCTTTTCTTTTCTTACCTATCATATTATGTCATATTCTTTCGTACACACAAACCATGCATCCTACCACACTATAGTAGACTTCAAATACATACATAGAATCTAGTTTAGCACTGCGAAACGGAGCATAACTCCTGTCAAATAGGCATGAACGGACATGTTTTGACAATAGTGATATGCCTGCGTCTAGCTGATAATGTTAGGAGATGACGGCCTGTGTCCATACAGAGCTTCGAAAATTACAGTTAGCTGTTTATTGCCTTTCACAATCTGTTCTAGATGCGTTAAAATCTGCATTGAGTAAGCGTTTTAAGGCGTCAAATCAATCTTAGGGAGGTTAGCATTGGGAGATCAATTAGAATTCTTCAAGTAGTTACAAAATAGTCATAATTATTTTTTATTTATTCCAACCAAAATAAACTAACACTTTTTGAACGTCAAAAAAAAATGTCTGTCAGTCTGATCGTCAGTGAAGCTAGGTGCTCATTCCAAAGTGTAGATTCGAATGGAGTAAAACGGATAATGGAGCAGAATCTTATGCTTTCTATTACGAAAAGTATTAGAATAAAATCAATAGTAGCTAAGTTTATTCACATTGATGTATTTCTGCCATTTCATCATTTAACTACTCATCAATTGCTTCACATTACTTACACATAGTTTCGCAAAATAAAACTCTTATTTCTACTTTCCTTTGACCACTAAACACGATAAAATAAATCTTGCTTACTTTTACAAAACTATCCCTAGCCACCGGACTATTAGTTGGTCACCCTGATACCCGTATAAATCAATGATGCGGCAATTTACCGCGTGACTGAACACCTACTTGATCTCCTGATGTGAGAAATTGACTCTTATTAAAGGTTACTAGGTAGGTACTTGTGTTTATTGCTAATATAATAATAATAATCTACGAATTGCTTCAAAAAACAATTCGTAGATTATTAGGTTTTTTTGAGTGTGGAATTCCATGCAATAGCTTCTAAAGCCCTGGGTCCGATGAGAGGGTGTGTTAGAGTTTTCCTTCTTCTTTGCCAAGCTTATTGTTAGTTTTAAAAAATACCATGTAAAAATTTATTCTAATCGAAATACCAAAGTTTTTACCTTAAGGATTTTTTAAAGGAATTGGGCAACAAATTACCAGATTAATCACCAGATGGTAAGCAATAACCGGCGCAGGTGGACGCTAGTTACACTAGAGTTAAAAGTGTGTTGCTGCCGATTTAAACATGGTAAATGTTTGGGGATTGGTAGATTTGAGGATATCTATACTAATATTATAAATGCGAAATTAACTCTGTCTATCTGTCTGTCTGTCTTTTCTTCACGCCTAAACTACAGAACCGATTTCTGTGAAATTTGGTACAGACATAGTTTGAAACTCGAGAAAGGACATAGGATAGTTTTTATACCAAAAATCTGCACCAAAAGTCGCGGACAAAAGCTAGTCTGTATATAATGATGGCCAATGGCATTGGGCGTTCAGAAGTTATACTGATACTACGAAACACAATGCAAGTGTTATTTCATGTCGGTTTCATCGAATACTTCTGTAAGTACAAATAACGTGAAAGCTGAGGAAAAGGCTGAGAGTGTGGCTAAAAGTATAGTAAACTAGCTACTCTCGCGTGGTTTCACCCGCTGCTCGGCTCCATTTAGTCGTAGCGTGATGTTTTATAGCCTATAGCACTCAGGAACATTGTAGCTATCGATCAGTGAAGAATTTTGGAAATCCGACCAACGATTACAAAGATTACCCCCTACATACAAACTCACAAACATACAAATTTACAAATTTTGCCTCTTTATAATATTAGTATAGATTGATAAAGTAAAATTAAATATAGATCACTTTACATAGCCAAGCTTAATAAGTACATACAGGCTGGCCGTTACTCCTTATACACCTTGTTATTACAAGTAAGCTGCTGTTGACATATTAAGATTGAGTATCTTGACCTACACGTAGACTTTATTTATATGTTATACATGTGCGCATTTATACTATTGCATTACATTATGTAATACCACGGCCTCCTAGAAAAAACTGGCTTGAAAGAATAATAGCGTTGTGTTTCTTCCTTGTCAGTGAGGTTACTGGAGGGCCCATAATCTCCTCCCATCCTCCCACCATATGCTTTCCTCAAATCTTCTAATCCACAAAAGGCCGGCAATGCACTCGTGACATCTTTAGTGTTGCGGGCGTCAATTACCGGCGCCGATTGCTTATCATCATCTAATCCGTCTGCTCAATATATATATTTATGTAGGTATCGAAGGGGCGTTGCGTGCCAGTTTTGTTTGGCCACAACAACAACCAAGTTAATAAATCTAACTTTTAAATTGTTACTTAGAAGCCTTTACATAGTTTTCACAACTGCGTAGTAAGGGAGCATTAATGTACACATTGTTTGGAAAAATGAATAAGGAAACTAATAAAGTTTTAGTAGATACCTTAAATATAAAGGAAATATTATACGGATTTTCGTAATAGCTTTTGTTGTTTACTAAATATTGTAAGTATTTTTCCAAACCTTCTTTGATCGATGTCCCTCGTACTTAAACCTTAGTTAAAGCATCTATTTATTGTTCAACTGGAAAAACTTAAACATCATTATGAGATCTCCAGCCGGGGTTGCGGGGTAAGCGCAATGGGGCACCGCGACCTCGGCCCAGAGCAGGAGAAGGAACAGGGGGGTTTTTAGTCAGTAAGAGTCTGACACTCCCTCCCGCCCTGCCCTGGGCGGGAGAAGTCATTTGATGATTATACCTAACAAAAAAAAAAAAAAAAATTATGAGATCTCCCTGATTTTAGTATCATTGACTCTTCAAACAAACAAATACAATATTTGTTTGCCTCATGTTTCAACAAATACATAGTTCCTTGAACTTTCATCGTGGCAATTCGAGCCCCATAGTACAAGAACAATAATTAAACAATAACAAACAATTGGGGTTTGGTGAATTAATAAATCAACTTAAAGTCCTAACTAAACTTACGATATATACCTATAAGCAATGGTCAACAAAACAGAATCGAACGTACTAAAAAGTTAACAACCCTAACAAACACCATTGCGTGACTACTTCAGAAGTGGCGCTATCGACTGAAACCACCATGGTACTAGGACACGCAACCAGGGTTCCTCAAGTCATTCCCTTTGTTTAACATGTAAATATATTATGGCATGGCGACACAACTTAAACAGTGCCACGTAACAACCCCTTTAGGTATTTTAATGCAAATTACGACTGTCGCCGTTAGGAGTAAGTTCAAGACATTCTTACTGCGGGTGTCCATATTTAACAGTAACCGAGCATCACCGTTCTCTGATAAACCTGATCCTTTTAGAACTCCGATCTTCTTCTCGCCTGCCTAGAGAAAAGATTTTAGCAAAGCCCATTTTTGTTGAAGAATAGGCTACCTGGATTCTCATGGAAAAGGAACGAAAAGAAGAGCCACTTGATGATTTTCCCCTCAAAAAAAAAGAAACCAACTAGAGTGTTTCATTTGGCTCACGCCAGATTTATATCATTTTTCTTTTTTAGATAAATTTCCCTTTTATGGACGTTATACCTTCCTCCCTAAGACATCTCTAGAACCTCCACGAGCTCGTTGAACGTAGAAGTAGTTTCTACTTTAGAATTGTCAGCACAGGTCAAGAGTAGCCCTCCGTTTCAGATGCCTTTTGACATACAAAAGCACCTAAAACCCGGTCACCTACTGCTGACAAACGCAAAAAGTTACTTCAAAGAGAATACATTAAAATCGAGTTAGCTGATCGCTTCCGAATTAGTGCTAAATGAGGGACAAATTTCTCTAACCAGTCATATCAATCAAAAAGAAAAAAGCTTGCGTTTTATCACAATTTACATTTCGTGGAGTTTCAATGGAAAAGCCCCTGGAGAGGATGGCGTTACGACAGAGCTTCTAAAAGCAGGCAGCAAACCGGTACTCAGGGAGCTGCAAAAGCTATTTAACGCTGTCCTGTTTGAAGGGAGAACTCCAGAGGCGTGGAGTCGGAGTGTGGTCGTCTTGTTCTTCAAAAAGGGTGACAAAACCCTACTGAAGAATTATCGACCCATTTCCCTTTTAAGCCACGTCTATAAGCTGTTCTCGAGAGTGATCACGAACCGCCTTGCGCGAAGACTTGACGAATTCCAACCACCGGAGCAGGCTGGGTTTCGGAGCGGATACGGCACCATAGACCACATCCACACAGTGCGGCAGATTATACAGAAGACTGAGGAGTATAATCAGCCCCTGTGCCTAGCATTTGTGGACTATGAGAAAGCCTTTGACTCGGTCGAAATCTGGGCTGTTCTGGAGTCCCTGCAGCGATGCCAAGTAGATTGGCGATACATCCAAGTGATGAGATGTCTCTACGAGGCCGCCACCATGTCCGTCCAAGTACAGGATCAGCAAACAAGGCCGATACCGTTGCATCGAGGTGTGAGACAAGGGGATGTTATCTCCCCGAAATTGTTCACAAATGCAATGGAGGATATGTTCAAGACGCTGAACTGGAAAGGACGCGGCATCAACATAAATGGCGAGTACATCTCTCACTTGCGATTTGCAGACGACATCGTCATCGTAGCAGAAACGCTGCAGGACCTACAACGGATGCTGAATGACCTGGCTGACTCTTCTATACGCATCGGCCTACGGATGAACTTGGATAAAACCAAGGTCATGTTCAATGAACATGTACTACCGGAACCGATTGCAGTACACGGCGCTGTTCTCGAAGTCGTTCAAAAATATGTATACCTCGGGCAGACATTGCAGATGGGTAGAAACAACTTCGAGAACGAGGTGAATAGAGGAATTCAGCTAGGTTGGGCAGCATATGGAAAGCTGCGTCAAGTCTTCACGTCGTCGATCCCACAGTGCCTAAAGACGAAAGTCTTCAATCAGTGCGTCCTACCTGTCATGACATACGGAGCCGAAACGTGGACACTGACGGTGCGGCTGGTTCACAAGCTAAAAGTCACTCAGCGAGCTATGGAGAGGGCTATGCTCGGCGTTTCTCTGCGAGATCGAATCAGAAACGAGGTGATCCGGCAGAGAACCAAGGTAATCGACATAGCCCACCGGATTAGCAAGCTGAAATGGCAGTGGGCTGGCCATATTAGCCGAAGAACCGATGACTGTTGGAGTAGACGAGTTCTTGAGTGGAGACCGCGTCTCGGCAAACGTAATGTAGGACGTCCTCAGGCAAGGTGGAGTGATGATTTGCGCAAGATGGCTGGCAGGAGCTGGATGCGAGTGGCCGAAGATCGATCCCAGTGGCGTGCAATAGGAGAGGCCTATGTCCAGCAGTGGACTGAAAAGGGCTGATGATGATGATGATGATGATGATGGAGTTTCAATAAAAAAGTATCATCAAAATTATACAGATATTATTATTTCACTGTCAATTCTCATAATGATACCAATAATAAAACATTAGTCATACTAAATTTAATAAAAGTAATAAATTATTCATTGTCAATAACATTATCAATGAAAAACTCGCTTAAACGAATATTAAAACGTACCATACCGCGACCTGCTAAACGACTTTATTATGTAATCGAATAATTACCGCGTCTATTTCGCGCGTCACGTGAGATCAAACCGAAACGTGATCTAACAATAAACTATCGATAACGATATCACCAGCCACACCACTATTTATCGACTATGAATAATAAACATTGGGGCCAACGACCATTGAGGGAAAAATCGATCGTTCACTTGAACTTCAATCGATTTATTTCGATAAACGTAAATGTTAATATGTCGATATTTGTGTCATTCGATTGCATCAGGGTTCTGACTTCTGACTCATTGGCCATAAATAGGCTGCGATGTTGTCATTGAGTGCAATCAACCCTATAGGTAAGGCAAGTTTTCTTCGTGCCACCAAATAGGGACGTACAGCTTATCGATTTCCATATTTGTATATTTATCGATATTGATATACTATTCTAATATTAATATTATACATATAAGTAAAGAAAATTAAATATACTCACGTCTATTGAATTAAGATATAATAAAAATATATTAAGGGCTGAAGAAATTAGAACGCGTATATATTTTCCAGAAGGCGCTCGCGTGGGAAATCCGCCGGGATTATTATTAAATTATCCTTTGTGCGTTAAATATGATTAGGATGACTGTAACAATAACTAAAGGCGATAACATTTATCATATCATATTATCTTCCTTTCTGTATTATTACGTAATAATGTAACTTACATCTTCTTTAATAGAATTGTGGTCAATGTATTAACATTTTTCTTTCATAAATAATACAAAACAAGTATGAATTTCTATACACTAGACCTACTTTCCCATGAAAACTTTATAATTGTTTTAATGGGTTTCCATTGAGTATGTTTGTGGTACTATATAGAAATTAATAAATGTTTTCCTTTGTTTTTCTTCTGTCCGTGTAGAAAACTTATACCTATTAACGTCATGTATTCTGCGCAACGCGTACCTATATCTATCTCTTGCGATTCCCTTCCTTTCTCTTCTTCCATAATCTTTATATAAAATACAGTTTCCGTACAGTGTTTGTAATTGTTTGCAGAAGTCGGCGGCGCAACACCTGTCGCGACTGTCGGGCGCGATCGGTCCTGAACGGATCTACGCTGACTGGCAGTGGTGGATCCTCGCCGCGCTGCCCTTCCCTCACCTCGTGAGGGTACTCGACTGCTTCTTCCATGAGGGGATCAAGGTGAGATATAGAGCATTCGGTAAGCGTTTTCATAAGAAATAAGTTGTAACACAATCATGTGGTATTTGGATTTGTGGATGCATCGTGTATGTCGTGTGAGTAAATAAACTCTTTGTAGGAGAGAGATCGGTTTTTTGTTCCTTCCTTACAATTATACGAAGTGATTCAATAAAGTTTTAAGAAAACGTATTAAACAAACCGGCAATGAACTTGTGGTTGTTGATGGGGTCAGGAACGCCACGCACAACTTACTTTTGTGCCTTATTCCACAAATATGTATAGATGACCGCTGGGTAAGCCAAGTTTCAGGCTTAGAACGTATTATTTGATTAATCTTTGTAGTAGTAGTAACACATAGATTGGGATTAAAGTCAACATGTAATGGGCGATCGAAAGGTGAGTTTGTCAAATTAAGTTGCTGTCAAAGATTTAACTTCCAAACTGGTCTGACAAGAGGACGAAACGACTAGAGGTTGATACTAGCTTTATCTCGTTATTGAGAAAAAAAAACGTAAGTCCCTATTAAAGAAATAACAACTCTAAAGTTTAGCGTTCTTCGTGTAGCAAACATTCTCTTTACATTATATTTCTGCTATTATTCTCCAGAAGAAACAAATGCGATGTTCTATCCCATCTCTATAATATAAAATGTTTACACGTAAAACTCACTAAGGAATAATTCATTCTAGTATAATGTTAATAAGATCCCTATAAAAAAGAAGTTTCCTTCCGTAAACGTCTCGGGTAATTAAAATCGTATTATGAAATGTATTTCTACCAGAGTACATTTAATTCTAAGTGAGATTTTAATAAAGAATTTCTCCTTTAATCGCTTATTTCTAATTCGCTGAACTGAAAATGGTTTCACCAAAGAGCTATTTGAAACGAAACGATGTACGCTCAGAGTTTTAATGTTTGTTTTTACTTGTGGATTAGGATTATGTTGTTTTTAGTGAGTTTGGGGTGGAGTACTGACGAGATACTAATGTTTGCGTTGGATAATCAGAAATAGTAGTCCTCGTGGTTGCTCTGAGATTAAGGCTTCTTATATAAGAAAACGCGGGTTTGAAACTGCAAATACCAATGGCACTATTGCCGAGATATACATATTTACTGAGTTTTTAAGCTGACCGACGTTGAAGAAAAACATCATGAGAAAACCTGGCCTTCTAAATATAGTTTGACATCGCCATCCGCCTTGAGCAGTCGTGGACATTGATTCTCAAACTTGTCCGTGTCAGAAGAGGCTTCCGCTAAGCAGTAGGAGCTTTTACATTGATGAATCAGTATTCCTTTGAATGAAAAACGGATCAAATAATCGGCATTTTAACCAACTGATAATATTAATAAATAACTGATACTATTCCTTCGCTACCGCAACACATGATGAATGACAAATTAGCTGCCGGCTGATTCAGTCTCTTCTAAACTTAAGCAAACGTTGTTTCAAGTTAGTTTTCAATGAAGCCGAAGTATCAATTCGGTCGTGCCGACTCAAAAACATGACACGTAATGGCCACTTTGCTTTCCACATCTATTAGTATTTAACCTCTAGTCTACCGCAAAATTAGGCAAAACAAAATATAACATTGTATTTGTATCCACAGGTATTCTACAGGGTGGCTTTAGCGATCCTCATCCTCTTCAACAAGCATGCTTCGAACCAGAGCTCTGACTGGTACGCTGAAGCCACGAAGAATGGCGTCGACCACGCCATCGACAAGTTCTGCAGGAATATGCCAGCATCGCCCACTAAACTACTCAGGACCGCCTTCAGCATAAGGGCATTAAGGTATTAAAGTCATTATAATTTATTACAATTCATTCTTAAACATATATTTTAATAAGTGGAGAAACCCTCTAGTAAGGTAAAAAATTAATGTTATGGACTATTCTTATAATAATATGTTATAAAAAAACTCCATTGGGTCAAAATATGTCAAATAAACTCTAAAAAGCTTTTCCCACGGTTTTTTTGTTCATACATTGCTGTAGAATGTAAAAATGATTTGAATAACGCGAGTGAAGCAAGGAAATGATATACATAACACAAAGCAATAAAAACTCGCGAAAAATCCCGCATCAAAAATGTAATCAGAAACTTTATTCCTCATTCTAAGCAATGAAGCTTTCATCAAATGAAATCTTACAAAACTGTCGTAAATTGCGAAGCGTATAAAAATTTCACGAAATATCTTATTCAAAATAAATTGAATCACACCAAAACACGAAAATATAAACATGAAATGTCGCGAAAAATAAATGCCAAAGTATGAATTTTAACATACATTCAATATTACATAATTTATCAAGTTTTATTATAAACGAAATTCACTTTATATGCATAATTAATTCGGCTCGCAATCAAAGTATGTAAATGTGGTAAATCGCGAATTTCGGGTCTTTAGCACATTTCATATGTTAATCAAGGGGCTGTTTGATGTACTTGTTTGTCAAGATTAATTTAAGCTTGCTTTGTTCTGTGTTTAGCGGCGTTTTGAGGTCTTTCTTTAAAAAGGGTTGGCTGATTTCTGCTTTTTGACTTCAGTTTCATGTTAAGGAAAGCTTATCTATTTCCTCTGGGTACATTTAAAATACCGAGAATCTTTTTAACTATATCATTAATTTTCTTATTAAAACTTTTGTGAAGAAATAAATATAATATGACGCAAGGAATAGGTTTTTGATGACGTCAGGACGTCAAAGAATTTTATATTCTAAAAAATAACAGCAACCGAAAATGTGCTTTCAACAATTCAAAATAAGTACTGAAGTTGTCTAACTCAACTTTGAAAATAGAAATGTCCATATTGAAGCGGACTCAAAAACACTCCGACGTTAGTCGCACTCAGCCAACGAGGCAGATTTCAGTTTATTTCATCTAAATGAAGATTTAAGGGAGATTTTATTACAGGTGAAGGCTTAAGCTATAAATCTAGATTAGGCTTTTGCTAATAAAATGCGGCTGAACGTTTTATACACTATATAGTATAAAATGTCTGTCGAAAAAATACGAGCACTTTTTTTATTCGTGCAACCCAGCCTTTTTCATTTGATGCTTTGCGTTTCTTTTAACGACCATCAGCGCTATAAAATAACAATGTTTATTTTATCCACTTTCGTTTGTAACAATAAAAAATATAGACTAACCTTTATATTTAAAAATGTACCGGTATCATCTTAGTTATAATATCTTCAGCCAGGATATCATTACGAGACTGTCGAAAGACACTCTTAGATCGATTTATCTTTGCAATGGTAGCTACCGTTTTTTGTTCATAAGATGGCGCCAGTTTGGTTCTCCCATCCGACAGGGTCCAATCAGTATACAACCTGAACTTTACTCAGATTACTGCCATCTGCTGTGCATAAAAATGACAACTACCTTTACAGTACAAATATGTGTCAAAATGTTCATTCAACTAATGATTTTCTTCCACAGTTCACAGTACATATCCCGGGTGTTCATTAAGACGGAGATGACGCTCAAGTCGAAGCAAGTCATCACTGGATCCCGCCTCGTACGCTCCCGGTCGTCTGACAATCTACCCACCAGCCAATCACAAGTCAACATACAAATGATGTCACACACCCTTACTATCCGCGAAGTGAGTACTTTACCCTAAAACATAAACAGATACATTTACCCTACATTTTTTGACAGGTCTCTTTTAGGGAGCTTTTCTTTTAAAATGCTTGGGAATGGTAAATGAAGTTCAATGACGAATTATTGTTTATATTGAAATATATTTACTTAATAATATACTAATATCTTATATGATATTATGTTTATGTATATCATTCTACAGCCTTTTTTATCAATATTGTATTCAAAAAGGCTATATTTGTTTATTAATATGTACTTAAATTATTATCAAAAAAATCAAGGCATTGATAGTACAAGTTGAAAAAGAGATTGTACTTCCTAGCCACGTTCAGGTATATGTTCTGCTTACGGGTAGCTTTGATGCTAACAGTCACAATGATCTACTCTAACTACACACTGCACAGTCACAGATGAAGAGAATATTTTTGTATATCGGTTTATTTTACTTGGTTCGCAGAGAATGTCTGAGGAAACGTGCAAACAAATGGTATTGTACTACGACGAATTAGGCGTGGCTTTGGCTTTTATTTATCATTAAATTCATTCGATTGCAACCCTAACACTACTAACTATCAAATCGATTTGTTTGACAGATTCGATAGTCCAATCTAATATTTAAGTACATTATTTCGTTTGTCGAACCACCGTTATGTTATGTTCGATCTGTGTAGCCAAGATCTGTGAATGACTATTGTTGTGCCCCTCGATGTTATCATAATCAGAATCGATTTTTTAATTATATATCATTAGTCGAATATTTTAAAACGAATGAACGATTATCGAACATTCATACTATCCATTCGCTTTGAATGTCTGATTTATTTGTTCCTCTCATTGTTTCAGTGTCTCTCTTCTATGTAAAATATTTTCTTTTACAATTATTATTATTATTGAACATAATTATGTATTATGTCAATGTGTTTGACAGTTGGCATGTGTGTGTTACAACTCTCCGGAGTTGGTACAGATGTATTATAAATACAAAATGCCATAACAAGTGGACATAGCTTGAGATATTAACAAAATGTTGAGAGAATATCGATAATAGTGATGTGAAGGCATGTAATCGATTGTTTTGTGTGAGTGCTAACTGTGTGTCGATTTTCCCGTTAGGGCTCACATTCGCCGGGCCCGCGCGCCCTATCGATGGGCGTATTCCCAATCCAAGCCATAAGGTCGCAGATTCTAGACCAGAGCGAAGTAAGATACAAGTATTAAGTCACCAAATATAAGTGTCGCCCCTATTTGAGAGCTTGCGACATTATATCGATGTTTAGATGCACCGCTTATCACTAGGTGTTTTATTTATTTTATCCTTTTGAAGCGATTATAGCTTTGAAAGTATCGACTTTTTAAATCTAAGCTTGTTTTAATTTTGACTGTTTATTTTGCGTGTATGGTAAGTACGTAAGTGTAAGCTAGTGTGCATGATGGCTAGTGTGCGTCCGTTTGTTTGTTATTTTTGTTGTACTACATGTTTATTTTGTACAGTGCCAATACAATAACTCTCTGTAATAAGGACTAATAATAAAAAACCAACATCTTAACCCAACTTACTACGAAAACATCGATAAAAAATCATCGTTAACGTTCTATCACTATACAGGCAAGCAAACTACCCCAAAACGTAGACTTTCAACTCTATCACAACGCAATACAGTTGAATATTTCAACAAATTGGGGTATTTTGATACTCTATCTATAAAATACAAAGGTATCACTCGTGGTCGGTGTTCGCAGAGCCCACGATCTGCCCATCTGGCCCTGTGGTTCCCATTCCCTAACGCAGTATTCAAGGACCAACACCATCACGCATCAGACTTGAGACAGAAGGTTTGACAGACATTACTGATCACACCAAATAACGTTAAATGGGAGATAGTTGTCGTGGTGGCACTTTTAACTTGTAGCCTTAACGTTATGTAGATTATAGGGATGATGATGTGAAAAAAGGTTTTTGTCCAGTCCGTCCTCGCAACCCCAACTGAACATCAGCCCTGTAGGGCCTCGTTTGATCATTTTACGCTTAAGATGAAAAAACTGCCAAATATTACGCAACCCCAACTGAACATCAGCCCTGTAGGGCCTCTTGTCTTGGCCTTTTTTTCATCTTAAGCGTAAAATGATCAAACGAGGCCCTACAGGGCTGATGTTCAGTTGGGGTTGCGAGGTAAGCGCAATGTGGCACCGCAGCCTCGACCTAAAACAGGAGAAGAAACGGGGGTTTTTAGTCAGTAAAAGTCTGAGATCTTTTGTTACTCATGTGATTGTAAACGCATCCATGACAAAAGAGGAAATCCTAGTGTAGGATTATTTTTTATTTTAATATAAAAACAAATGTATGTATGTGTGTATCACAATTTTAGGAGTCGAGTCGTCGTCGTAAAGTGTCAAATATTTCTCTCTTCTTCAGCGGACGGACAATAAACATTTTTTTTTAATCATCTTCTCTATTTACTAGCACTTGGTAGAACGATTCTAAATTGGCTGGTTCCGTAGGTAGTTAGACGTTGTTTTGTTGATTTTGATTTATTGAGGTATCATTACGTTTTTATTGTCAGTCAGTCTGTATGTTAGTAAGTGCTCACATCCTTTAGCGCATGCGCGTTACGCCTGCTCGTAGATTAGGATAGAGGGACGACTATATCAGTAAAAGTTTCTTGAATTAATTTGTTCGTATTAGAAAATGTATTCTTATCATATTCATGTCTCTAAAAACATTTTAGTCACGTTTATGTTAAATAGTTAAATTTATTGCATTTAGGGCTGATTTTTCAATGGTTAAATAAGAGTTACGTGGGGAATAATTATGATGCTGTCGCGTCAGAATGTTTGTATATGACAGAGACAGCAACAATTTTATTCCTCAGATAACATTTATCTGACTATTGAAAAATCAGCCTTAACAATTAATAATTTTATTGTTTTAGTAATTAATGTAGCATTTAATGTTTATTAATATTTTCCTCTTACAATCGTAAAACAAACATATTTATTATTATGTGTTTATTACAAATAACTTTTATAGCATTCTAGACGTAATAATTGTATTGTATTTCTATTTGAAATTCATATTTTATTAGGCACGCCTACGGAACCCCAGTTTTAGTGCATGCCTGACTATAGATTCCACATTGTCACTGTATTTAGATACGCACCTACATTGTGCCTGACTAGACTATAGATACAATTATAAAACTAGGCTATAAAAGCATTAATTAGGTCATATAGAAAACCCTAGTTCTTGTAGGTAATCTAACTCGAAATGGTTACTTGACTCAATCAAAAATTAATCAAAAACAATCAACACATAATCTCTTAAAATAAAAAAAAAAACGTTTTCGGTGTTGACAATTAAAAAAACATATTAAATTCTATTTGTCAAGTACTCAATTCAAAAAGCATTTAAATAAAAAAGTAATTCTATATTTTAGATAAATTTATAGCTTAGTATAATATTCATACATTATTTATCATTAGATACCTTTTTATTATTTGCTATCGATATAGAATTTTATTATAGAAATTCAATTATCCTGTAAACCCTTAGGGAAGTAGGTATTACTTACATAGATGTTAAAAACTCTTTAGATTTTTACTTAATATAGTCTTAGCATTCTTTTGTCGAAATTAATTTTATTAAATTTTTCTATAAACTATATTTGCATGATTAAGAAAAATTCTACTGTTAGTATACAGGATGGTGTTTTTTCTTAACTTCGTTATATATGGTGTTTATTTTAAATAAGTATTACTAGTTTCAAAGTCTTGTCAAAGCGTATAACATTAGTTTTTGGAATTTATTTAGGTTGGTAACATTTTAAACGTTAGGTACAGAATCAGCAGAACAAACGGTAGTGAGTATAATTTCAGTTAGATTTAGATGTGCTATTATTATACAATAATATAGTTGTAGAATTCATTAAATTTAGATTAAATTCTCATTAAACCCTAAACTATCAAACAGGTCATTTACAACTTATGATGTGGCTATGCTATCTTTTTCCTCTTTTCTTTTGAAAGATGGTGGAACATCCCTTTCGGACGAAAGGGATAGCGATAGCTTAAACACGCGTGAGATTTTTATGTGGCAAATAGAATAATATTTTAAACATCTGGTAACATGGTTGAAATTTCAATGAATGAAATGTCCTTAACTAAGCACACCATAGTGACTCAGCTCATCATTGTAAATTCAACTTTAAAGCCAAATGTTTAAGGAATATTTTTGTTTGTAACATAAATATCTACAAGTTCATGTATCGGTAAATATTGTAAAATGCTTTCTATCAATGTTGTGGAGTCGGCTCTTACTTGAGCTATTTGTTTTTGTTGCATGATCCGTCATTTCATATGTAATTTGTATACGTCAATCATCAGTGATAGTGCAATACATCAAAATTAAACTATATCTTAAATATCATAAGGTCGAAATTCCTTTACAAATACTGAAATCAGGGCGTATTTTAGGTTTGTTAAAATATTGCATTATCACTAATAACAATGTAGAATTGTACGTGTTTATATTGAAATACTTGCACTATAAGCACAAATCACTTGTACACGTTTACTAAAACTACACCACTAACTGTGACGTCATCGAGATGTTATTAGAATATTTTGTAGTAAAAAAGTACCATATTTCAACCTTAAAAGTAAATAAAAAATGTGACCAGTACACATAAAGAATAGTTTTGAAAAATACATTACCAAATTAAATATTTGTTTTTAATTAATTGGTCACACAAAGCGTGTTTGACGTGGACCGTCAACGCGCAATCACCACAGATAATTAAAGACACATTGTCAAAACAAATACAAACAAAAGAAAAACATTTAGATATTTTTAAAGTTAGTACATTAGACGAAAAAAAAGGTTCTTTTAATTTAAACAATTAATTCAATACGCTAATATTGTTTTTAAATCGTTCCAGCTGTTCACGTTGTGGTCGTGGTTGCCAGTTCGCATCACTATGTACCAACCAGTGTTGCTATATACGACTGAGGAGCACGGTTGCTCGTTGACCACTTTCTACGTGAGGGTGGAACACCATGAACCAACATTGCTTATGATCAAGACATGTAATAATGAGGTAAGTGTTTTTATGAGATAGGTCGCCTAACAAACTTTCGGATTACCGATAGTAAGCAGTTGGCGCCGCCCATTGACACCCGCAACATCAACGAAGTTAAGAGTGCATTGCCGGCCTTCTGGGGATAAGTGAGTAGGTTCCGGATATTTGCAGATTGGGAAGGGATGGGAGGAGGTTGAGGGCTTGGTAACCTTCTCCTGACTATAACACCCAAAAAGAATTGGCGAAATTGGTCCAGGCGCTGTCATGTGCACATCTTTCACAACGTCAGTGCCTTTGTAATGCGGTTTGGATTTATTTATTAACCGGACATTATTATTATTTTACATACACTCAGGCTGAAACAACAATTTATCGATCATACAAAGATGTGTTCTGTGACCAACTATTCCGTCAATTCACATAATTATACACAACCTTAAAATACTTAATATTTAATTTATAGGTATTCGGTGCGTATTGTTCAACGAGATGGTTCGAGCGCAACCAGAAGGATGAGCGCGGTAACCGACAGGCTTACTTCGGCACCGGAGAAACATTCCTCTTTAGGTAAACATTTAAAATAAATAATATATTCTTTTAATTCAGTTCTTTCACTTTTTACGATTCGAAACTAGACCTTTTATTGAGAATTTCGTATATTTGAAAATGAAACAGCCTGTATAATAAGTACATTTATTGTATATGTGTATTTTAGGTACAAATAGTTATCTAATCATTAAATTTAATATCTATATGTATTTTTATTATATATTAAGCGTTATTTTCTCGTGGTTTTGAGGTTAATTGTCTCCATACAAAGTTATATTTAATTATTAATTGAACAGATACTGTATTGTTCGTCGCTTTTTAAATAATTTTGTAACAGTGCTCTTCGGGTAAATGCTGGTAATATGTAGTTATTATATGTTATATATATGTTGTGTATCTAGCCCCTTTCCCTGTTATAATAACAACCCAATCTAACTCTTCTATATTGTATGTCTGTAAGTATTTATATGTTTAGACCTAACATTAAAAGTTGATTAGTAAAAACACTACTGTATAAGAATCTATCCAAATGTTTTTAAATGTTAGGTGTTAGAAGCTATTTATTTATTAGTGATCAAACAAAAATATGCATGCACTGTTCTAAAATCCGTTGTTTTTTAGTTGTATAATAATATAATGTACCTCCTATGTGGAATTTAACAAAATAATCTCAATATGTACATATTGTATTCTAAAATAATGTTTTGTTCTAAATCCGTATCGAGATTTGCTAAAACCCCATTTCTTCATACATTAGTTATTAACTTTTCCATTATTCAAACAGTCAGGCCAAAATCCAGATGATATTTAGGCTCCTAAGCAAAAGGCAAATTTTTGCTTAAAAATACTTTTATTAACTCACTAACTAATGTACGAAATCGAATAAAAAAAATTGTACCTGAACAAAATAGTATACCATTTTATGAAGTGTATACCTAAATGTTTAACCCCAGTGCACATAATAAACCTGTACAGTCATAGCATGTTGCATCAACCCGTCGTTCGCTTCCAGCCTTTATCCGGAGCGCGCAAAGTACCCGTGGGTGGGCTGTACAACGGGAGCCGATGGGAAGGGAGAGGAACGCGTCGCTCACGGTTCTGAACTCTTCATGGCCGCAGACTCGAAGATGATCACCATCGGCGGAGGGTCAGTTGTTAAAAAATCATATTATAAAATTCCAGTTTGCATCCACTACGAGCAAAATACCCGTGGGTCGGATGCCTAGAGGACAATGTTGAAGGTCCAAGCGATCAGAAAGAGGCCAGGACTCCACACGCCAATTCTCTCTTCATGGCTGCTGATAATACAATGATTACTATCGGTGGAGGGTATGTCGAGTGAATGTGTGATCAATATTGTGACAGATGATGGTTATCGTTTTTGCGCTTAGTAGATGGCGCTGGTGGAGTTTTAAGTCTTGTTGTTTTAATCGCTCATATTTATGATATCATACTGTCCACGAGTGCCAAATTTAAGCGCGATAACCCCCATTGAATGATGCCTGATTCCATAATTCGGGTTCGACTCCCTCATTAAATTCCTGTTCTGGTTCGTGTAATATACGGAACGGATCTCCAAGAATGTAATATAGTCCTATGCCTTGAGTATGCATCCTATTTGGACGTAAGTGTACCTCCCCAAGTTTGAATGGTTCGATGTCCGCATGAATTGTTTATGTTTTTTTACTCATATATTTATTTCCCTACTTTGATGTTGTTTTTTGTGACTTTTTGTATTTTATTAACGTCACGAACATTTTAATCCAATTATAACCACGAAACCCAATATTAACTTGGGCCCTCGTCATTTACTGCACCACGCACATTAATAAAATCTGCCTGATTGTATGTCTATAATATGGTTTTTGTGTTTGACAGTGACGGCCAAGCGATCTGGATGGACGAGAACATAAGGTTCGGCAAGACTGACCGCTGCTCGACGTTCAACAACCCGCCGCTATGCCCGAGCGGGGACTTCGAGATCCGGGTGCTCGAGGTGTACGGCTTCTCGGGGGCGTAGGCCCTCCACTTGAATAATCTCGATATCACCGTAGCTTCATATCCCCCGTGTGATAAATGTTGTGATCGCTTCACTCCGCTGGAGCGCTACGTACGAGTGCGTGCCGGTCGAGGTTATCAATAGATCCCCAGGGATTTTCATCCGCCATTATCTCGCCAATCCTCACACACTTCTGTGGACCCGTGGTGGCAGTGCCGCGCACTGACCATCCACCACCCTCCCTCACCATATTTCAGAGGAAATCCCCCTCCAAGCGATGTATTGATCACCCTTTGCCGATATAACAGACTGTGTAGATGTATTCCTAATATTTATTCTACAAAGTTAATCTCGGTGTGGACCCCGTAGCTGTCCTTTCAATTCAAAGCTGTCCGTTTAAGACAACGAAGACGGGGAATGTAGGTTGTTTAAATATTTACTCGTGTTTAGAATGTGTAAGTACAAAAATTTTGAATGTATCGTACCTACTCTTGATGGATTAAATAATACGCTTATTATGAAAGCAATATTGTATCTGTGGGGCGCAGCCGTGCGGTGGGAACGTTCGGGACTCGGGGCGATGCGAACATTCCACTCGACTGTAACATCGTTATCCTTGCGACGACTCAGCCTAGTTGTACGATTCGGTCCAAGCAACAGTATTTCGGTATCGTATTGTATGTTCATTATTGCTTGTTAGTATTTATACTCGCTGAAATTTTGTCGTTGCTCACAAAAATGTACCAAAGAGTTTACCTTGTAATGAATTTATTTGTGACTCGATGCTTCGTCATAGAATCACGGCGATGTTGCACTCATCATCAATATTCGCAAACAGACGCTCAGCTAGAAGCTAGATTCTCGTAGCTTGCGAACTAATATAGTATATCAGTGATATCGCAAATAATTTTCGCTCCTATCACGAAGACGAAAGGTTCATCTCTCACTGCCATCGTTCGCAGTCAAAATAGTATTATTTATTATATATTTCAAAGGTGATGTGCCAAAATCGGACCATGTAACGAATTGGCTTTACTATGAACTCCGGGTAACAATCTGGATTGATTTCTTTTATACATAAAATTTATGTAAAAGAGATTTTACATTTATTGTATATGTTTATTAACGAAACGTAAGTGGATTAGTTTATTTCTTGTTTTATCGAAAATGTGTCGAAATTATTTTAGTTTATCCGTTTGGGTGCGTTTGTCGGAACGTGGTTGTTAATTGATGTGCTACTAACTGTTAGTAGGATGCTGTTGATATTAAGTTTGGTAGTTTAACTAGAATCGAGGGTTCTTATTGTGTTGGTTCCGACAGACGGACGTCAGACACTCGTTAGCAATGCAGGCAACGTGTACAGTCGGTAACGATGAAGTGTCCCTCGCGGTACAAAGGGTACAACCTGCGTTCGTATCACCCGCGGCTTATTCCGCTACGGTTTATTTGTAAATATTATTTTATGCAGCCCCCTAACTACCGGACCATGCACGACCAACTCTACAGTTTCATCACCTCACGAGGCCCGGACGGATTGTTATGTAAAAATGTTCACATGTACCTGAGTAATGTGTTTATATATTATGTGAAGTTGTGAATGTCGTTAAGTATTGTAGCCCATACACAAATATTATATCGTTCGGTTAATATAGACATTCTAACTTTTTGAATATTTATAAGGTATTTGATTTAGAAGAGGTTAGTTTTAGTATAGAGATTTGAACGACCCGATACGCGGTCTGTTCAATTTAATACGCGAAGTTGCCTCTTGAGCATAGTACAGCTCTATAGTATTTAAGAATGAAGTTAAACTCAACATAACAAGATGAAATTATGGTTCCGATCAAACTGCAAGAGAGGTCCCTAACACGGCATGGTCGCTACTTAGTGGGCTGTGCGTAGCGATGGGTTTCGTCATGGTACTACATGCTAAATGTTATTCAGAAGCCTAAGACTCGTTTTAAATTCAAATTATTTATGTAACTTATTGATTAGGTAACATGTAACGTTTATATTGTATGTTATGAAGCGTCTCTCTGCGGCCGACGGACTGGCGGTCACATGTTTTTGTTTTTATTTTACCAAGTTAAGGAGATCAAAGTGTCTTCGGTGAGTGCAGTCGAGGGCGGCCCTGGGACCTCCTGGGACCTCCTGGACCGGTGGTCCTCGGCTGCACGGCTGTGTCCATATATTTATGTTACGTACAAGCTCGCCCGCACAGAGACGATACTCGCGATATGTTGCTGTTAGCCAATTGTCGTTGATCAGTGTAAAGTCTAGTCTTTATCCTGTTTTTATTATCTCTAACGATATAATATTATGTAAACTATATACAAATTGATATTTAAAAAAAGTTCGTGCGTTTTTTGCCTCATTATGGGGCGCGTAGGCTCGTGGTTAGTTAGTATATAAGTACATTTAATATATGTAAATTTATTAATCTCCTTTTTCCTTTTCAGTATTGTGTCGTTTTTTTTATGTGAGGAGCATATCATTGTGTGGCATAAATGTGATGCGTGTATGTAGTGAGCTTTGTTTTGTTACGACGTACTGTTACATTCGAATAGTTCAGCCCGCCGCGCAAGTGACGGCCTGAGACTCGTTTATGGTAATGTAAATGTTGCTTCATAATGTGTAAAAAAATATATAATCCTATATACATGTTGTTGTTTTATTATTACCTGATTAACTTCCCCTTGCCCTATGGCTGATTTTTTTCTAATAGGAAGCGAACTATTTACGATTTCACCTGATGAAAAGTGATCAGCGCTGTCAATAGACACTTGATAATATGTTTGCATGACAATGTGTAAAAGTCTCCTTTTCATTAGAATCGAAACCAAATGATAGGTACTTGTAAAAGTTTTAAGGTTACATTGTCAATACACATTCCTTTCTGAAACATAAGGCGGTATACTGATTAATAATAGTGGGTAATTTTGATAAGAAGGTAAGAGTCAAGGTTAGGATGATTGGACCAAAAGTGGTTTTTGAAGTTTGAGCAATACCAGGTTTTAGTACCAGATAATGTTATAACTACATAGTTCATCTTTTCATTAAAATTTAGAACCTCATAGTTACATATAGGTAGGTGACACGTTTTTCTTATTTTTTCTTCGATAAGTCAATAGAAAATTACACCAAATAGGAATTCTGTATGTAATCCGGAACACGTTAATTTCACCTAGTAGTAGGCGTTATATTAAATTACAACTTTGGAACCTTATTTGATGTACTACTTGGGAACCTTATTACCTATGTACCAAATAGGGACTAAAACTTGGTATTGCTTAAACTTAAAAAGTCTCTCTTGAGCCAATCATCCTCATCTTTTTTTTTGAGGGGAAAGTCATCAAATGACTTCTCCCGCCCAGGGTCGGCGCGCAGGTCGCCGCCGCCGACAACTTCCCTGAGGACACAGCGGTGCTCAGCCCAGGCAGGGCTTAATCATCCTGACCTTGACGATTAAGATAAGACTCGTTCTTATGGTAGGAAACAAAGCAGCTTGTTGGTAACCCTCAAAGTTTTCCCGTCATATTGCAATTAAGGGTAGTCTTTAAACTCTTATGAATGTCGCTGATAAGTTCGTTCATTCGAGTATCAAGTGAATCATATTGTTTCAGCGATAGAGCGGTTTAGGTGGTCAAATTCCGACATAATCCTTTGTCAAGATGGTGCTTATCAAACTTTATTTTTTGATAGAACCGAGAAATAGGTGCTTATTGAATAATAATTACATTGTTATAACAAAAGAAACAAATTACCTATTATAGGCAGAATTTTTGACTTTATTATTCATCAATATTTTGTTGAGGCTGATCTCCACAAAACATCTTGAATATGGCTAAGACAAAGAGTATCGGCTCATTCCCATTTATAATATCAAATAGTACCTAACAATTGAAAAATAAAACAGATTGTCAAGATAAAAAAAGAAACATATTTATTCCAAAACCACATTGAACTTCTTCTTCTTACCACTTCTATATTTAGTTACTCTTTTAGATGTATTCGTTGCTAAGGGTTCATTGGTCACCCAGGTTAGAATCTCTTCATAAACAGTGTCCACAATTTCAATTACTTCATAAAAATTGTCTTCGGATACATTCCCTAAATAATAACACATCAGCACAGCTAAAGGCTTCCTTACTTTAGCTATAAATTCTTTTAATTCCTCTCTATCATTTTCTTCAAAAGATGAGCCATTCTTATCGGTCTGCAGGATAGCTGAAGTAGCATTCCAAATATTGTATGTTGGCTCAAAATATTTCTCAGGAGAATCAGTTATTTTTAATACATCTACAATAGTAATAGTTGACGATAGAATGTCTATTAAATCTGTATCAATCTCTTTATTAACAACCAACTTCTCCTCGTAATATTTCAGTACAACATTTATAAGTGTAATGACATTCTCTATACTACCCTCATACATTTCATATGAATTTTCAAATCCAACAAAGTTCAGTACTATTTGGAGACTGATAATTTGAACTCTTTCTAACTTGTCCTTAGAACATGTTGCTTTCCTCTTCACTGTTATCTCAGTGAAGGCTGCAGTTAGAGAGTCTATGGCATGTTGTAAGACAAAGTGAGTGTAGAACTTTGTCCGAAACTTTTCAGTATTACAGTTTGAACACACAGTATTTAAGTTCTCTAAGGCTGTAATCAATAAGTCTTTGTGTGATGAGTTTAGTAGAATAAAATATAAAGCTGAAGAATACTCGACAGAGGCGAACAGATTCATCCAAATTTCAATCTCCTCGTCGTTCGCCAAATACAAACAACCACTCACTAACCTTAGCAATTGAACTAATACTAAACTGTCGTCTGTATTTATATATTCAATAAGAGTAGCTAATAAACCGTCCATCTTCATTAAAACCTTCACAACTTCTTTCTGGCAGCACATATTTCCAATGATACCGATAATTATCTCAATGATTCTCGAGACTTCAATAACGGGTAGTGCGAAATTAATAAGTTTCAAAACTTCATGTTTCTGAAGAAATAACACAACATCCTTCTCAGTAGTCATGTCCCACAGTATGCAAATATCATCTTCAAATGATTTTTCTTTTATTTCTTCTTTTAATGTATCCAAATTAGCGAGTTTAAGTAAAATCTTTAGAACAAAACGCTCGCTGTATGCTGTGTTACCAATTACATCGCCGGCAACTTGATCCGGATTTTCAACATCTTCCGCTTGCTCTGACTTCATTTTGTTTATAACTTATTATTACTTACAATTATAATTTTAAATAGAGCTGAATACATTTACATTACTCTTCAAGAATCTAAGTAAATTGTCAGACTGCCTCACACATTTGACAGAAGCGGTCGTTGACCTTATTGAATGAACTAAATATAAATAGCGAACGAGGAAGATAAAGATCCGTTTTTGAAGTAAGTTACAAACATATATATGTATGTATGTTTATTTATCAATCTAATACATTGAAGTTAATTGCGACACTTATCTGTTAAGATTATTTTTGAGTTGAAACTTCTGTAACAAAGAATATTGACGAACATGAGCCGCTATTCAATCAATGAAACCCAGCCGCGATACCACCTAAATTAGATCTCATCATTAGATTTGGCATCAATTTAAAAATATAAGTATTTAAATAAATCGTTTGCACTATCTTATGGTGCAACCAATATATTTAGCGGGAGAAAACGAGAAGATTCGCCGGACGTCGGGATTCGGACGACTGAGGGGCGGTTGTGCGAACTTCTAAGTAAATTGCGTATTGTGCTCAAAGCCATCTGACCACCACAGATGGAGCCCGCTAAGGGGAATGATATAAAGATAAAATGTTGTAGTTTCTAGTTAATAGGAGTCTGACTCACTCAGAGATTAAGTGGGAGAACGTTGTGATTTTCGTTAAAAAAAAGCTGCAAAATGGCAGCCGGACACGTGAAAAGTTCTGTAGCAGAAATCACTACAATTTTAAGTTTTATGATGAATCTATTAACTGTTTTCAATACAGATTTGCATGGTGATGTACATTCAACATCATATGTTTTTATTTATTTTGTCATTCTCTTATTTTATAACATACACAAAGGTAACACACATTTTATCATTTCATTTTTGTAAATTCAGCCATGGATATTACAACCATGTAGGTTTGACATTGGGGGTGGGGCAAATATATTGTCTTTGTTGCGTGAAAATCCTATATTGTTTACAACAGTTAGCAAGTTTCAAAAGTATGGTTCCCATAGTTTCGGAAGCAAGTCGCTGCACCTGTGTGAACCTGGCACCCGACTTTGGAAAAATTGGGTTTTTTAATGGTTTTTCGAAAGATTTCGATTAGTAGTGGATAGTAGTGAAGCTATTTTCGTTAGTAGTAAAACCAAAAAAAAAAAAAAAATTGTTAAAAAATGTCATCCCCCGAAAATAAAAAAAAATGTTTTTTCCGGCTGTTTCTCATAGATAAACGTTAGTAGTGGATTGTAGTGCAATTTTATTCGTTTGTAGTAAAATAGAAGAAAAAAAAAATCGTTTCGGAGTATTTTTTGAAAACGATTTTTATGACCTGAATACTGTTTCAAGGCATATACGATTACTACTAACGTTAGATTTGACTAAAAAGGGTTCCTAGAGGTTTGTAGTGAAAGAATTTTCGATAGTAGTAAAGGTACACGTTGACTAGAAGCACTTGAGATGAGCCAAACTTGTTTCGGAGCGATATTTGCTGGAATTTTTTTTTAATGATAAATTCGACTACTACAAACGTTGAAATTGACTAAAAAGGGTTCCTAGAGGTTAGTAGTGAAAGAATTTTCGATAGTAGTAAAGGTACATGTTGACTAGAAGCACTTGAGATGAGCCAAACTTGTTTCGGAGCGATATTTGCTGGATAAAATTTTTTTGATGATAAATACGACTACTACAAACGTTGAAATTAACTAAAAAGGGTTCGTAGAGGTTTGTAGTGAAAGAATTTTCGATAGTAGTAAAGGTACATGTTGACTAGAAGCACTTGAGATGAGCCAAACTTGTTTCGGAGCGATATTTGCTTTTTGTGTTTGTAGTTTGGCTCATCTCAAGTGCTTCTAGTCAACATGTACCTTTACTACTATCGAAAATTCTTTCACTACAAACCCTTTTTAGTCAATTTCAACGTTTGTAGTAGTCGTATTTATCATCAAAAAAAATGTATCCAGCAAATATCGCTCCGAAACAAGTTGGCCCATCTTAAGTGAATCTAGTCAACATGTACCTTTACTACTATCGAAAATTCTTTCACTACAAACCTCTACGAACCCTTTTTAGTCAATTTCAACGTTTGTAGTAGTCGAATTTATCATTAAAAAAAAATTCCAGCAAATATCGCTCCGAAACAAGTTTGGCTCATCTCAAGTGCTTCTAGTCAACGTGTACCTTTACTACTATCGAAAATTCTTTCACTACAAACCTCTAGGAAACCTTTTTAGTCAAATCTTACGTTAGTAGTAATCGTATATGCCTTGAAACAGTATTCAGGTCATAAAAATCGTTTTCAAAAAATACTCCGAAACGATTTTTTTTTTCTTCTATTTTACTACAAACGAATAAAATTGCACTACAATCCACTACTAACGTTTATCTATGAGAAACAGCCGGAAAAAACATTTTTTTTTATTTTCGGGGGATGACATTTTTTAACAATTTTTTTTTTTTTTTGGTTTTACTACTAACGAAAATAGCTTCACTACTATCCACTACTAATCGAAATCTTTCGAAAAACCATTAAAAAACCCAATTTTTCCAAAGTCGGGTGCCAGGTTCACACAGGTAGTCGCTGCGACATACGGACGGACAAACAGACCTGACGAATTCAAAAGGGTTCCGTTGGGCTTGGCTAAGAAACTCTTAAAAGGCATAAATATGTCTACAGATAATTTATATAAAAGTATTAATTCCCGCTTTCGTACAAAAGAAAATAATGATGAACAAAATACCTATAAAATATGGTGCAATTTTATACATTTTCAGGACTGTTGCATTTTCTCTTGGCGTAGGTGCTCTTTCAAATATACAAGTTAACAGACACATCCAGACCCAAAACAACAATTCGTAGTTACAAAGAGTTGTTCCATGTGGATATCGAAGCCACGACACTTTAGCGATAATTGATTGCACAGTTGGTGTACTGACTAGAACGGCTGTTGCATTTAACTAATCTTTGCTTAGCTAATAATTGATTTTAACTAATCTAACATAAGTATTTTGACATTCATATCGTACCATGTACTCCAAGAATGGTTTTACAGAGTATAGACATGATTTGATTAAAGGAAAAATCAAGTTCAGCGCTGACATGTCTCGTCACCGACTCGAGCACCTATGTCGAACCTCTACCATTAGTGTTCAAACAAAACAAGCCTTTTAGCTTTTTAAAAGTTTTGATTTTTGACTAATAGTCAATATAACTATAATTTGTTAGCAATTATTAGTAGGTATTAGTAAATAAAGACACCTACTTTGCGAAATGACACTGTCGCTTTGGTCCAAATAGTAGTCGCAAGCGTTACAGCTGAGCACACTGTTCTTATCAAATCTTATTTGTAATTTTAATATCAGACTTTTACATTCAGTTTAGATTCTTAAATTATTAACACTTTATGCGTATTTAAAACCACTGTTCTTCATTCTTCTATCCTTGGCCAATTCTTGAAGCATATAAATTGCCTCCGATACTTTTTTTAAATACTTTTTTTCTTCTTTTCCGGATATAACATTGAATATTAATTCTGCGTTACCAACTTTAAGAAGTCTTCTGTCCTCCATTTTCTTGATTACAACTCTGGCTTCATAAGGATAACTGAGACGAATCCATCCCTCAGTGCTGCCTCGTTGATAATCCAAAAAATTTATTGTTGCATCTGAAAATAAACACTTTATTTGCAGTTTTACGTTTATTACTTAAATATTTTCAATGAAATTGAAAATCTAAAATATTGGTGTTTTGGACTATGCCTACATAAAAAAAAATTTGTATTCTGGATTTGTATGATCTGAAAATTACCTAATTCTTTCAGTGCCTGATATAGATCCTCTCTTCTCAAGTTATCTGGAGCTCCAGTGAAATGTAACACTGTTCCACGAGGAAATTCACGCTTGCCATGGCAATACAACTTTAGATAATCTCGTCCTTTCATATGTATGTAATCATCGTAGTACTGCCTGCCTTGCATCCTCCGACATTTGCACATACCTTGGCGACCACAAGCTACCTAAAATTAAAGAAAAAAATTGTAAATTGTTAAACAAATTTGAATAGCAATTTCAAATCTTATTGATGAATTATGTGTGGGATAAATGATAAAAATGTCGTCTTCAGGAAGTAATGTTTAAATAAGAAATAGATTTAGGCCTAAGTTACACAATAAAGAGGCTAATAACGTATCAAACATTATAATAGATTATCATATAAATAACAATCTTAATTTCTAGACTTTTCTAAAAAACCTCTAGAAATTGTTTAACCATCCCTAAATACAAAATGTTTTTACCAGCCACATAAAGTAAATGTTCATTTACATATTCGTTATTGGTTTCATCGGAGTCGTAACCACTAGTTTTGGTGTTTTTATCGATTATTAACGAATCAGGAGTACAGATTCCGTCCTTTTTCTTTTTTCGCCGTAGAATTGGAGCAAAGGTTTGGATAGGGTCTAACTCGTCAGGTTCTAGTGGAATATGATGGACGCAGATTGGGTCATGTACTGTCCTTAGTTTAACTTCTTGTTTTACATTAGTTTCCTTCTTTCTTTTAACTTTATCTTTTCCCTTACGTTTATCCTTATCTTTAGGGTTTGAGCTAATGTTTTCGTATTGCTGCACATCGATTTCTCCCGGCCATTCCGTAATTTTTAAATCATCGAAACTTTTTATTATTTGAGTTTCAGATAATGTTTCTGGCGATTTAGGGCCCGTTTTGTACTCAATATTGTTATTATTTTGGATTTCGTCCGAATATTCGTGGACGTCAGTTTTTTCGAATATGTTTCTATCCCCTATATTGCACATTTTTTGTACGTTTGCACAACCACAACAGACTTATTTTCCTAAATTTTTTAATGTGATACCATCACCGATACAAATAATACACTGTTTCCGAAAAATCAATAACAAAAACAAACACTTTGATTTAACTGTCAAAATGAACGAATGAAAAAAGTATATAAAAGAACTGAGCATTTATAGAGTTAGTCATGATAATGATGATAATCTTGATTCCATAGTAATATATTTTGTTTATTAAAAATATAGGTAGGTTCGCTTGAGGTTTTAAATATGGTAGGTAGATGTCGATGTCAACAATTAAAACATACAACACAAGATTTCAGAAATTCATATTTTATCGATGTTTGATGCAGATAAAGTTACTTTATAATTAGTAGGTAAATGTTGCTATTTAAAGAATACAAACTTATTATACATAACGACATTTTCACAAAATTAACCGAGAAAAGCTCCTAGTTTCAACTTGCACTATGTTGTTTTGTTGGACTAACAATAATGTAAGGTATATTATATAGAAATAACAATGAGAGAGAATAAGCGTTGTTCTTGGGTTCGATTCTCGGGTTGGCAAACAACGTAGTACGAAGAAGATTCATCGCCAGTGACTAAGCATATCATGTGATACGCACGCAGTTCCCTTCATAAATTTCGATAAGATCTTCATTAGCGGGGGTAAGAAATACATGTGCCGCAGAAAGTGCGGAACGGTTCATATTTTAACAGAGATGGTGGCTGGGTGTTGCCACCCGCGGTTGTCAACCTGTCTTGAACCTACGTTACGTAGGAACTTGGTAATACAATAAGTGTGGTATGCAATACTGATTTTGTGTCAGCCCGGGAATCGAACCCAACACCAATGCTGCCGATCAAGCCGGGCGACTCAACTTCGTCGCAGACGTGGCTATTGCCGGGGTTCAAAGTATTTAATAATATACCGCGGCCACAACCCAGAGCCGAAAGACCGGGGTGGTTTTTAGCCATGAGTCTGACACTCCGTCCCGCCCCACCCGGGGCGAGAAAGCATTTCATGACTATCTTCTCCCAAAAAGTACATACTTTTGATGGTCCGACAGATGGCAAAACAGACAGAGTAACATGGGAAAAGTTGAAAATAAAAATTCAACAATTATAATCCTTATAAGATATTTTTTAATAGTAAATATTTATTGAACAAATCAAAAACTAGGATAACACCGTTTCGGATTGTTAACAAAGATTATAATTCTTGTAATCAAGTTGTATCTTATACTTAAAAGCAATTATGAAAGTCTATGGTTGGCATAGTCCTCTCTATACGGCAGCGCCATCTATAACTAACTTTCAGTAGCTTTAACTTTTCTAGGGGGGCCATCATCGTTGTCATTTCGCCTCTTTTTACCATGGTATTTGTTTCCGCCCTTTCTGCCTTTATTGCTTTTGAAATTCTTCATATTTTTTCGACGTTTAGCCATTTCTTCTACGGTTTTCTGTAAATATGTTGATTCTTCTTCACCCTCGAGTACTTTAAATTCAACATCGGCTTCAGCAATCTTCATTTTATTTTCAGTCATTTTCTCTGCAACTACCTTAGCGGTGTTTTCCTTTGTGAGGCGAACCCAACCCTCTTTGTCACCAACTTTGAAGTCAATGTATGCTATATCTGCTCCTGTAAATAAAGAAATAATATTTTAGAAAAATGTTTTTTTTTTCGTGGGGTGATAATATAATTCTGTCGCTTTAGCTACCAGAGGCCAAACTACGTCAGGATGGGTTTTTCGATATGGCAATTGCATATTGCCATATCGAAAAACCCATCTAAAAAACTATATAATGATCTAAAAAACTAAAAAGAATAATAAACTGAAAACTATTTAGAAGAAAATATATTATAGCAGATATGAGGCCATAAGAACTTATTACATTTGTTGAGTTGTTCATTACATAGCATATCACACGGCATAGCATAAAAATGGACCCTAGTCTTTTTACCTTTTGGGCAAACTAGAAATTTCACACCAACTCACTCATTAACACTAAACTCTTTACAAAAAAAATTATTGTTGTTGTTGTATGAAAAATTTGCTTACCAAGGGTTGAGAGCGCTTCCTTGATATCCTCTCTCTTCATTTGGTCTGTGCCACCACTGAAGTATAATACTGTTCCTGTTGGTAGCTTCAATTCTTCTTTCTCAACCTGATTATAAAATAAAAATATGTAAATATGGTGTACTAATCCAAGGATATTAAGCTGATGAAGTCTACACATCCTACTTTGCCTTAATTCTGAACTTGATAAATTGTTATATAAATTAACAGTTTTCTTGTGACTTTTGTATAGAGGGATCTATATATTTAGTTCTTTGTATAGTTTCTTAAAGGTTTTACATAGGTTATTTTGGTATATTATGGTCCCCATATGGAATAACCACACAAGCACTTGATAACTTGTGTGGGGTATTCACACGAACTTCATTCCATATTTAAATTAAATAGACCCTAAATTGGTGACACCTTTATTTTTCTATAGAACTTACATTCTGATGTTCTTTATCCTTATTCTTCTTGTTATCTTTCTGTTCCTTCTTGTTGGCATACTCCTCTTGTTTCTGTGCTATATAGTCTTCCTGCCAGTGGAGAAGCAGTTCTGTACCCTGGTACTCATGAGGTTTAGTCTCCATGAATTTCTCAGCCTGAAATTAGAAAGGAATTCATTGATAAAGTTTAAGGTAAAAATGTCTTTTGCAAGAGGGTGCAGTTAGAATACAAGGTAAGTGCCACTATGACTTTTTCCTAGTCATACGTACTTTCTCAGATTATTTAAATACACCTGCCACAGGTATATGGATGAGAAAAACATAATGGTGACTTTAATTTTATAATAATAATATGTTTGAAATTGCCAATCAATATTAAGCAGGATTGATGCACATACTTTCTAAATGTTCGAAAAGACATTTGCTCAGCAGTGGGAACTTACAGGCTCATGGTGATGATGAATTTAAAAGGTTTGAAGTATTGTGATACTTTATAAGTAGAATAATTAATATTCAATTCACATAAATGTATAAAAGACATATATAATATTTATTTATTCTTATTTTAGTCCAATAACTAAAAACGCATGGCAAACATACCTGTGCCCTAGTCTTGAATGTGAGGAATATGGACCCCTTAAACAGCCTCTTTTTGGATGACCTTTCCTGATATTTCCTCATGATAATATTCTCAACTTGTTCATATTGCCTGAAGTGTTTTAGTAAGTCATCTAATGTAGATTCTTTTGGGAACCCTTTAGCGTAAACAGTCCTGCTACTTAATTCCTTTCTGCGTTCCTCATTCATCTCCGGAATAGGTACGTCAGGACTGCGTCTGACCTTCTTCTTGTCTTCAGAGATCTGAAATGGGGGAAGGTAAAATATTTAAGTCATTGTTTCTTTTATTTTACTTATTAGGGACCATTTTGTGACATATCATTAGTTGATAATATTAGTATATCATTAAAATACTTTACTTATGAATTTTTGTAGATAAATTGCTTGTTACAACAGTTTTACGCAAGACACAACTGCACTGTTGGCGCAGTGGCTGGACATTCATATATTCAATACCCAGAAAAGATCAACTTATTGTCAACTTCTAATGATCAATATGAGTTATATCCATTGTTTTGTTGTTTTTGAAAAATTGAAAATATACTTATGACAAAACAAAATCCTGGGTTGTGTGTCCTATGAAATAGTTTTTACATAGTCCAAACTATTAATTTACTATAAATTGTCTATAAAAATATTGATATTTTATTCAATATAATCAATAAAAAATTACCTCAAGTAGTCCATTGGTAGATTTAAGCAAGGCTTTGGCAATGATTTCAGTGTCCTTAGTCAGCTTGGCGAGTCGGTTGAATCTGGTGAGGATGTCCAATGGCACCCACCCATCATCAATTTGAACCTGTTCTCGGAGGAATTTGTCTCGTGGAAGGTTCAAGTCTCCTGTAAATATAAAGATAGAAATTGTGAAGGTGGCTGCATATTACACTATGATTAGACACTTGAAGCTTGTTATCAGCAAAATATGCCCAGTGCGGGACAAATGCTTCTTTAGACATAGCACATCACACTGACACAAGAAAGATTGAAAATTGAAACATACAATTATTATACTATGAAAGACCACATTGTTTTTCAAGGATTCTTTATTTATTTCCCATCTTATAACACCTTCATGTAACTACAGATAGATTATATAAATAGCTTTCTGTATTCAAATTTATTCGGTACATAGTTACTAGATTTGAGAAAAGCCTTATTTTTATTTGGTCAGGCCAGATTTAAAAAGAACAAATGCAACTTTATAAGATAAAATTCCACATGCCAATACAACAAATTACTATCTTGCATCATTTTGCAGCATTAGCAGATATGTATTATTAAGTATTGTGTACAATAAAGTTGATACAGAACACTGGTGTTTGAACTACTACAAATTAAATAGCATGCATTGTTTTTCTACATAACAGAATACCATTTTATATACCTATAGTATAAATTCCATTGAAATAAGGTTACATACGCGAACCAAATAAATACAACGTGGGTACCAGCTGGTGATAAACATTACAGGTATTTGTAAGTACTTATATTGACCATAAACCACATTTTACTGGCTCGAAAATATTAGGTATTAGTGAGCGAAGAAATCTTGGCCAAACACATCTTTATTTAAACCCTACGTCAGACGAAATAGCACTACAAGTTTGTAACTCACCAAAATAATACTCCACTTGACGTATTATCGCAGTTTCCAACTCATTCTCTTCTTCCACTGGCTGCTCCTGCTTGTTATTCTCTCCGTTGGACTCGGCAACTACTTCCTTAGCCTCAGTCATGTCTAAAACACCAAATAATACCAACAATTTAGACCTTAAGCTTAAATCCACAGGCGCAACCGCATTTTTACAAATGGCGCTATCGATTAATGTCTTTACCTGGTTTATTTCTGAGGGTTTCTACACAAATATGTTGATAATAACAATAAAATTGTTTCTATTTACGTAGAATTATAAATACAGGCGAGTTCTCGAGAGGCGAGAACACGTGTTTCCAATTTTTACCCCACACGCGGCCGGCACGACACGAAATAAATGATGGAATGGCGGGAGCGCGGGAAGGGGGGTGGCCCATTGACATAGGAAATATATGGACTTGAAATACCTACGAAAAGAAGGTGCCTACCTACAATCCAAAATGTCGCATAAGATGGCTGCCGTTGCTAGGGTTGTGCCGACTAAGTATTTAACGAGTATCGATACAATTTGAGTAAAAGTTCTACGTAGGTATAATTTTAGGGATTAGCCAGCTCATTAACGGTATTTTTTTATGGGAAATCATCTAATGTCATCTCCGGCCTATTTCGGGACAGACCGTTACTGACTAAAATCAACTCCTGTTCCTACTTTGCCGTCGGCCTAGCTAGAGCCCGGAACCCGGGGTTAACTTGGTCTCTTGATTGGCTAATGATTTTCTCAAGTCGAATTTGTATTCATATAATTCTACGTAAAGCGTCTTTTAAAAAAATAGGACTGTGTTTATGAACAGCGTTTAATGGAATGGTGAAATAGAAAAAGATAGTGTTTGTTAAATTATGTGGAAAACCTGTGGGTATTTGTGAAGTGCTCGCGCACAATTTCGGCGCGTCTGATTAAGCGATGATATCTTCGAAACTACGTTAGCACAAAGTAGATATGTAGTGAAGTCAATCTTATTGTATGTATCTCACTTTTTATTATTACGCTTGGTGGTCGCACTGGGATCGTCGCCAACGCCACTCTGTCAATCGCGCCCGTATAATTATAAAACATGATAATTTGAACTTCTACTTATGTAACTAAAACCAATACCAAAATACTGACGTCTTACTTTAGCGTTACACAAAACTGCGGAAACATCCATTGTTAAAATAGATTATTTAGTATAATATATGCTGAATTTTAAATGGGAGATTATATCGATACTTTTGTGAAATGGTACGTAACTATGCCATATTGACATATTATTGTAAACAACAATTTTTTACTAAAACTGTCTCACAGACAGAAATAAAAGTAAATATATATACTTTGGCAATAGATTAAAGTATCCGTGACATTTTTTTCTATCTATGTGGATTATTCTAAGTAATAATTGATGAAAACTGTTTACTAACCTATACAAAGACAATTGAGGTTGATTTTCGTTCTTTTTTGTACCACACTGCACAATGCAACACACAGGCATATTGTTTTTTTGTTTCACTATATATATTTGAAGTTTAAAAAAATGGTTCTTTGTAATTTACTGAAAAACCGCAATAATTTAAAACATAAACAACCGTTTGACAGGACAACTACCATGAAACTCAAGTACTCTGAGCGCTTAAGATGGCGGACATGGCACTTACCTACAACTTTGCTAATGTCAAAATGATTTGTTTCCATATTAAGCAACAACTTAAATATTGTTGTCCCTTTTGTCTAATACAATTATTGCCTTAGAAAGAGTGAGAAAAAATGATATTTCATAGTTTGTTTCATATTTCCTTCATATTTGTATAAGCATGTATACTTCTATAGTAACACGGCGCCTCTATATATTTTCTATCTCAATCATTGACATAGGAAATATAAGGACTTGAAATACCTACGAAACAAAGGTGCATACCTACAATCCAAAATTTCGCGTAAGATGGCTGCCGTTGCTAGGGTTGTGCCGACTACGTATTTAACGAGTATCGATACAATTTGAGTATAAGTTCTACGTAGGTATAGCTTTAGGGATTAGCCAGCTGATTAACGGTATATTTTTATGGGAAATCATCTAATGTCATCTCCGGCACTTTTCGTGACAGACCGTTACTGACTAAAATCAACTCCTGTTCCTACTTTGCCGTCGGCCTAGCTAGAGCCCGGAACCCGGGGTTACCTAGGTCTCTTGATTGGCTAATGATTTTCTCAAGTCGAATTTGTATCCATATAATTGTACGGAAAGCGTCTTTAAAAAAAATAATAAAAAAACATACAATCGAATTGAGAAACTCCTCCTTTTTTTGAAGTCAGTTAAAAAATAGGACTGTGTTTATGAACAGCGTTTAATGGAATGGTAAAATAGAAAAAGATAGTTTTTGTTAAATGTTTATCCGCCGAAATATGGGGCCCCTTAAATGCGTATGTGCAACACCTGTCGGAATTTGTGATGTGCTCGCGCACAATTTCGGCTCGTCTGATTAAGCGATGATATCTTCGAAACTACATTAGCATAAAATAGATAAGTAGTGAAGTCAATCTTACTGTATGTATCTCACTTTTTATTATTAAGCTTAGTGGTCGCACTGGGATCGCCGCCAACGCTGCTCTGTCAATCGGGCCCGGATAATTATAAAACATGACAATTTGAACTTCTACTTATGTAACTAAAACCAATACCAAAATACTGACGTCTTACTTTAGCCTTACACAAAATAGATTATTTAGGATAATATATTATGTTGAATTATAAATGGGAGATTATATCGATACTTTTGTGGAATGGTACGTAACTATGCCATATTGACATATTCTTGTAAACAACAATTTTTTACTTAAACTGTCTCACAGACAGAAATAGAAGTAAATATATATACTTTGGCAATAGATTCAAGTATCCGTAACATTTTTTCTATCTATGTGGATTATTTTAAGTAATATTTGATGAAAACTGTTTACTAACCTATGCAAAGACAATTTAGGTTGATATTCGTTCTTTTTTGCACCACACTGCACAATACAACACACAGGCATATTGTATTTTTGTTTCACTATATATCTTTGCAGTTTAAAACAATGGTTCTTTGTAATTTACTGGAAAACCGCAATAATTGAAAACATAAACAACCGTTTGACAGCACAACTACCATGAAACTCAGGTACTCTGAGCGCTTAAGATGGCGGACATGGCACTTACCTACAACTTTTCTAATGTCAAAATGATTTGTTGCCATAATAAGCAACAACTTAAATATTGTTGTCCCTTTTGTCTAATACAATTATTGCCTAAGAAAGAGTGAGAAAAAACTATATTTCATAGTTTGTTTCATATTTAACCCATATTTGTATAAGCAGGTATACATCTATAATAACAGGGCGCCTCTATATATTTTCTATCTCAATGATCTCAATGGGGTGGCCCGATGATGTTTGACGTTCCGTTCTGAAATATATGATTTTGTTTTGGAAATCTGTATGTTTTGGTAAGTATTGATTTTAAAAAAAGGTTGTGATTTTTCTCTTTTAAATGTGCGAGGTAATGATCGTATTAAATCTAGTCCCAAAAAGCATTCCTTTTAATATATAGTTATTTTATGAGTTACTAGTTAATCTTTTGTACATTAAAAAGGCTTCTTCAAATTAAGTATTTTTCTGAAGTACCAAATAAGTAGTCACTTCTTTATTTAAGAACATTTTATATTTTTAGAAAGACCATAAGATTTAATCGAATATTTGACAGAATTTCTATTTATGTTTTATTAATTTACTTATACATTTTATTGCCTTTCTTTGTTCACCTCCAACTTACTGTCAGATTGTCAAATTCCATTCTGTCAAGTCAATCACAATCAATGTCAAAATAAATAACATAACCTCCAACATACATCGTGTTAAAATATTGTGGTAATTATGGCTTAAGTTGTAATCATGGGAGTCCGAGGTTTAACTACTTATATTAGCCATAAACAGAATTCTTTCCTACAAGACTTCTTGTTACATGACTCTTCTCTGGTAATAGATGGGCATAGTTTGTGTGCCCAGTTGTACAGATTACAGCAGAACTGTTTCTCAGCGTTTGGTGGAGACTATGATAAATTCGCATCATATGTACGAAACTTCTTTAAAAATTTGAAGAAATGCAACATTACTCCTTATGTTTTGTTCGACGGGAGCTACGAAAATAGGAAATTGAAAACTGCGTACAATCGATTGAGATCTAAAATTTATGGCGCTTCGAATCTCGATCCGGTTACTCAAGGAAGCCTACAGATCTTCCCTCTGCTAGTTCGTGATGTTTTCATTGAAGCCTTGATTGATATGAATGTGCCTTATACAGTGTGTGAATTTGAAGCTGATGATGAAGTGGCAGCGATGGCTAGACACTTGGAATGTCCTGTGTTAAGCTACGATTCAGACTTCTACATATACAATGTCTTGTATATTCCATTCAACACATTAGATTTTAAAGCTAAGCCAATAGAAATTGATGGTACAAAACATTTTGCTTTAGAATGCAAAATCTTCAGAGTTGAATACATGCTCAAAAACTATGGAGGATTACAAGAAGACCTGTTGCCCTTACTAGCAACTCTATTAGGCAATGATTATGTTAAGAAGAAAGTGTTCAGAAAATTCTTCTATCAAATGAAACTAACTAAAACTAGGAAAAAAACAAATGATCAACAGAAATGCATTCATAGTTTGTTTCAATGGCTGCAAAATGAGACATTGGAGACAGCCATACAAAAAATACTGGGCCGATTGAGAAAGAGACAGAAGGGAATAACCCTTGCTCTCATAAAGAAGAGTATCAACGGGTACCATAGCAAACATTGTAGATCTCTAAAGTATTTTAATATCAATGTGGAAGACACTCCTGAATCAGACTGGCAACTGCCTGAAAACTTTGAAGAAGACATGTTGGCACAAGGTGAAGATGATAATGAGAATGAAAATGAATCTTCAGAAGATGAAGAGGTTTCCTCAGAAAATGAGGAGGAACAAGAAGAAGAGAAAGATAAAGAAGAAGAGGAAGAAGAAGAGGAAGAACAAGAAGATAAAGATAAAGAAGAAGAGGAAGAAGAAGAAGAGGAGGAAGTTGAAGATAATGTAACAAATTCTGAAGATGACCAGTTAAATCTTGGTGTACCAAAATGGTTTGCAGAAGGAATTCGACAGAATCATATTCCAAAAGGATATATTAACCTGTACACACATCATCTGCACTTTTGCTCACCCCAAGCAGAAGATTATGATGAAGATGACTCATTCTTATGTTGTCTACCAATTCTCAGATATGCTTTTGATCTTTTAACTGATTACTCAAAGAAATACTGCGTATATGTTAGTAGACAAAAGGACCTCTGCTACAAAAGGTTATTTATCAAAAATGATATTGGTACTTCAAGACTATTTGATACACCATTCTCTGACCTAACAGAAGATCAATTGAAATCATGTTTTGAACACTTTTTAAAAGAAAAATTAAAAGGATTTGAATTGAAATTTGTGGAACAATTACCATCTAATTTCCAGTTGTTTTTTATTGCTATCTTATGGTGGGTGGCAAACTGTGAAGTACCTTTAGGCAATGTACACAGTCTCCTAATGTGCTATGTAATGTTGGACGCCATTGATGAAAAAACAGGAACTTTTAGAGGGCAGTTTCAATTCAATAACAAATATTCTAAAAGAGTTGAAGAGTTAAAAAAGGATGCTACACCCCTCGTATTTGACGAAAATGAATTGTTTTTCAATAAAAACAAAGTGCAGTATGAAGACTCTTTGATAGCTGCACATGTTTTGCTGAAACATTTTGAGTTGGATGATAAGATAAAGAAGAAGCCTAAAAGTTATGACAAAAAGAAGATGCAATCTTTTGCCCAATTTCAATGTTGTTTAAGCCAGATCAATTATTTAAATATTCTCTGTAGGAGCCCTTTTGAGAGTACAAAGTATTCAAAAAGTTTTAATGGCACTTTTGTTTATAATATAGCAGTGAAATTGGAAAATCAGATAGACCCTAAGGCATTTTTGGAGCAGTACATTAGAGGTGCTAACTCTGTGTTATTGTTTTATAAGAGCTTAAGCTGTATTTTCGAAAAATGTGTAGCAGAGATGGGTTTGACTATGCACAAATGGGAGGGCAAGAAAAGAAGGCGAAGGAAGAGAAATAATACAATAGAGGACGAAATCAATTTTATTGTAAAGGGTTTTGAATCAGAGGTTATTATTTAGAATACATTTTTTTAACTGTTTTCATTGTTTTTTTATTAATATATAACCTACATCATGTCACCCCTATAGCCCCACGGTATACATACCAATGGGGGCAATGTAATAGACCGGCAAAGAGCATACGGATTACCTGATGGTAAGCAATCAGCACGGCTCAAGGACATCCTCATCACCAAAGGAGAATTACAAGTGCGTTGCCGACCTTTTAGAGATAAGGGTGTCAGATAGATGTTTAAGTATTGGGGGCGGGATTGGGCCTCCGGTAACCTCACTAATACGGCGAAACAAAACGCTGTGGTTGTTTCACGCCGAATTTCTATGAGTCAACCTATTCGTGCCGAAGCATGGCTCTCCCACACTGAGGGTCTAGCTTAGCTTACAAGCTTAGGCGATTCTCACACTGCCCCGCATAATGCAGCGTAGCGCGTGGACGCGTGTTCTTCTGTTGCTTGTAAGTATTTCCGTTTGTATGGAAAACACGCACAGTCTAACACACAGGAAATGCACCCACGCGCGTACATGCGGATTACGCGTATACACGCGGAGAAACATGCACCCCCGCGCGTAGGTGCGGGGCGAGACGGAAGGTATGGCACACCGAAACTCGCAGTGCCGCGCGTGATTTTGAATGGTTGGTTGGTTGTACCCGGTATCGTTTAAACAAGCACGATTTGTTTTAATTTCACCGTACGAAAACCAAACAGTTAGTATAATAGCAGCGTCCTGAATGAGTTCCTCACTATTGACCATTTTTATCAAAAGTATCGTGATGCTTAGTACCGCACGGCTACCACAGAGAACGGCGAATAAATGAGCCGCCGTGCGTGAATCTACAAAACGCACCCGCACGATGATGCAGATCTGCACTCCCGCAGGAACGCGCGTAGATGCGTCGACACGCAATATGCAGCATGATGCGGGGCAGTGCCGGATTAGCCACGTAGCAAGAGTAGCAAATGCTACGGGCCCCGCGGGTTAGAGGGCCCCGCGCTCAAATAGGTATTTCCTAAATACACCACTTCAACAGCAAGACCTATGTAGAAAATGTTTTGTTTACAAAACTACTACCAAACTGCAAGTAATTTTAGTTTTTTCTTAACGAAATAAACGAAAAAAGACAAATAGTCGGTATTTTGTATGTGTAAGAAAAGGAAAGCAAGTATCTGTCCGCTCGGCTGGTGCCATTGGCGGGCGAACCGAGCCGACGCGAACTGCGCGCACGGCTATTTCCGCCTCAGCTCTAGGTATAATATCTATCACGAAAAATGTTGGTACCAAAATGAACAACAATAATTTGAAATTGTACCACATCTTTTAAATTGAGCGCTAGCCACACACAAGTTATGTGTTGTACTACTTGCTCTGCACTAAACACAAGTTGGCAACACTGCAAAACCATTTGGGGAATTCCATGATATTGTCATCGATCGAGCTAGCCGTAACTCGAACAAATAAATTAGGATTCTATTGACTATCAAACAATAAGAAATTGATATACATTGATATATTTCCTTTGACTCAATATAAAAAACTACTAAGCACTTTAAATGTGAATTATTTGTGAGAAAAGTTGTCTTGACATTGCTTCAAGTACTGTTTTCGTGATTGACGTAGCGCTGCCTGTGTGCAATTCATTCAATTATCTTTTTACCGACTTCAAAAAAGGAGGGGGTACTAACATAGTACCCCCTCCTTTTGACTTCGACTGATTGTTTTTTTTTTTTTGTACATTCACCGATTACTCCGCCATTTATAAACCAATTTCCAAAATTCTTGTTTTGTTTGAAAGGTTATACTCCCGAGAGGGTCCCATTTTCATGAGGTCGGGATCTGATGATGGAATCCTAGGGAAACCGAGGGGAACTTTCGAAAATTGTAGGGGCGAGTAGTGCTACAACTTGCCGATAGTCGAACTTGACCTGATGATGGAGCCGGAAGACAGTTGAAGGATCTCCTTGATTATTTGAAGTAGTTATCTTGTGTTTCTTATTGGACTTTGCACCAAATAGGTCGTGACTGCCATTAGGGGTCTGATGATGAGAACGAAGGACAGTTTATAGGGAACTCCTGAACGGTTCACAGTAACTATCTCGTGTTTGGACCTAATTCATTTATATCGATGAAAACTTCGCACCTATATGGGTTACAATGAAGTTATGGAGTAAATCTGATGATGGTGCAAGAAGACTGTCGTAAGATCTCTTTGACTATTTGGAGTAATTATGTTGTGCTTGGATTTAATTCATTTATATTGATGAGAACTTTGCACCTATACGGATTACGTAAGTATATTGAAGGTCTGCAGTATAAATGATGATGGAGAACATTGACAGTCGAGGGAATTCCACAGCGATTTACAGCACCGAACACTGACTAACCCAGGACTACTACTATTATCGTGATTTTCGGTCTCAAGTAGTCGTCGTCTTCTCTTTCGAAAACCATTATCCTTGCTTGCTCTGCCAAGTGAATCATCCAAGTCATACCAAACAGCAACAGTATTAGAAAAATATTGATCGGTGCCTCCTAATCATCAAACTAACAATAGCTATATAGGTAAAGATTACACTATTTTTGTTTTGCTTGGCACCGAATTCAAAATTATAAAATGGTTATTAATATTTTTTCTATTCAACTAAGTGAAAACCTGTATAATTTCTACAAAAAAAAATTTTTTTTGCTTTCTAGTTTACTTTTTGAAGTCGGAATATTTTTGTTAAAAATTATTTATTTCACAATCGTCTGATCAAGACCTTAATACGGGATACGCCCTTTAAGAATCAATATATGGCTACGTCCAAGCAATGCGATCCTAATTTTCAGATATTAGAGGCAAGAGCCAAAGATTTGACTAACTGTGAAGAATACCAGCAACAGACATCACGACGAATCAAGCGAAATACAAAGTACGACCATTTCAGCGGCTCTACTACACTCGACGACTATGTTAAAAATCAAACACCTGGACAATGTTTCGAATTTGAGGTGTTTGTTGTCATAATTGATAATCGTACTGTCTGCTATAACTAAACGTATGAAAGCATATCATAAAATTACTAGTGTTTTAGAAGTATTTCGACTGATAAAATCTCTTGCAACTGAAGAGATTTTGAAAAAATCGTCAAAGATGTTCAGTGCTTATGAAGATGATTTGGAGAACGGCGAATTAGTGCAGTTCGCAGAGCTGCTGAAAACAGATGTGGCTACTGTAATTGACAGCAAGAAACAGGAGCCTCTGGAACTGCAATTTTATAAACTTTTATTAAATAATTCTTTAGAATCGTGTATCCCAAATTTAGAAATTGCCTTGCGTATTTACTATCTCTCATGATCACTAACTGCAGTGGCGAACGTTCTTTTTCAACGTTGAAACGAATTCAAAATGAATTAAGGAACACTATGGGCCAAGAACGTCTTAAGTTGAATATAGACTTGCTTAAAAAAGTCGATATTGAAAGTGTAATCGCTAAATTTGTAACAGTTTTGTTTTATTTAATACCCTTTTGAGAACCGATAGCAAACCAAGGGCCCCTTGACAGAATTTGCTACAGGCCCCGCGCTGGCTTAATCCGGCACTGATGCGGGGCAGTGTGAAAATCGCCTTAATGATCAGCATGTTACAGTGGTAATAACATAATAAGACAGTCAGCCCTATATGGCGCCGGCTATGGGGACTACCATAGCTGGCTCCATATAGGGCTGATGTTCAGCCAGGGTTGCAGGGTAAGCGCAATGACGCACCGCGGCCTCGGCCTAGAGCAGGATAATGAACGGGGGCGCTATTTATCAGTAAGAGTCTGACACATTCTCCCGCCTCGCCAAGACAGGCCCGAAGACGGAACGGGATGGGATGGTGTATAGTCAATACACACCCCATTTAGCCCCGTCCAGAGCGGGAGAAGATAATTAATTTTTTTTCCTCAATGGGGAGTTTGGGAAAAGAAATAAGAAAGGAGACTGTATTGTGTGAATACAGTTGAAGGCTTTAGAGTTCGTATACTACAATAAACATGTGTAAACCTTCTCTTTGCTTTTCTGTAGGTACCTGCTTACATAGTCAAATTATATGTTATAAAGTACCACAGGATATTAAAGGATAAAAATAAAACAAAAATTAATACCTTATCTTATAAAAATAATTTAATGTACTTTCTTAGATCCATTCATATGAGATACAGCGGTCCTACTCTTCCCTGAGACCATAGAGTCTAATTTTTCGCCGAATAAATAAAAGACCATTCCGAGAACCGCGCTGCCGATGAAATATAAGGTCTTGGTGGTCCAACTGACCACGTAGAGGAACGGGTAGGGCCAAATTCCATATTTAAAGTATACAATATGAATATAGCCTGCGTAAATAGCTGTCATAGTTATGGCAACAGTGAATCCAGTCTTTTTCGTCGGGAAATTTCTTCTCGTTACAAGCAACTCGATGAGTATTATAGGCAGAATTAACGTGTGCATTATATGGTTGATCCATTTCGGGAACTTCAGTTCAGCTTCTGGAGGGAATATGGCCTCTTTGTTGAATACGTAGAAGGTCCAAAATACAAGGACCACGTAGAATGCTGTGCAGAGTGTGATGCTGAAGAGGACGTCCTTAACTTGGCGGATTAGAGGCGGTTTTCGTGTGACTTCGTTGGTCCCGAAGAAATCGTTCAGGAGGGATATTATGAAGTAGACATTCTGTAGCACCTGAAAGTGAGATGAAGAGGAGAATCAGTTTTTGTATGATAAATTTAAGATTGGCAAGGATATGTAGCATTGTTGTTTTCTTAAAATTAACTTTTTGATGTACCTATACAATTTGAGAATTTGGCTAAACTATTTTTCCTAGATTCAGTGGGTATCTCTGGTGTCAGTGGGCCCAAGCCCTTCCTTGATGAGGTCCTGTCGATGGACAAGTCCGCATATTATCAACCTATTCTAATCGTTATAAGTAATACCTACTTATACAAGGCAGACAATAAAGAATTATTTTTCTGGTTGGGAGCCGACGGCTTTCGATTTACGATTACAATTTCGATTAAAATATGGACAGTCCACCTCTTCCTGTCTGTGGACTCTTGCACGTGATTGGTGCTGTTGTTAATGTAGTGCGCTAGATGTCGCTACACTACGTTAGTTGTGATACATAAACAGGTAATATATAGATAGGTACAATAAATATATAGATAGGTAATCTCTGATAAAACTTTTCCTAAAATAAATGTGCATAATAATATTATCTATTTATAAGTATCAATCTTCTATAGGTATAATAATAACAGTTAAAAAGTGTGTCAGCCCAAATAAGGCGATAGAAATAAAATGTCTTTCTTTCATATGTATGTTTGTTTGCACACGCTAATCTTCGAAAACAATGAACAGATTTGAATGAAGTTGTTGATTTTTATTTTTGCATAGCTCATGAACTTGGGCACCGTGTATTTGTTTTGGACATTGGTACAAAAAAAAAACTGCATTATAAGTTAGTAGGCATTCTACATGGACGAAGTCGCGGGCAGAAGGTAGTCGATAATACTTAATGTCAATTTTATCTAAATCTGTTAGCATTGCCCTTTGTATCCACGACTTCCTTTTTTAACAAGATTAGTTATCTCTTAAGGTTTTTATTTATAAGTTAGATAAACCTATAAAAAAATATTTATAAATAAAATTGATAATATAAGTGTGGGAGAGCCATGCTACGGCACGAATGGGTCGGCTCGACTGGAGTTATACCACGGCCTCACAGAAAACCGGCGTGAAATAACCAAAGAGTTGTGTTTCGCCGTGTGAGTGAGGTTAACGGAGCGGAGGCCCAATCCTTCTCCTACCCCAATCCATTCCCTTTCCCAAATCCGTAAGAAATCCCCAAAAGGTCGACAACGCACTCGTAACTCCTCCGTCGTTGCAGGTGTCCATGGGCGACGCTGATTGCTTACCATCAGGTAATGCGTTTGCTCGTTTGCGGACGTAGCACATAAAAAAAGACTAATAGGAGTATTTTTTGAGGCTGAAAAGAAAGGATGTGAGAATTATATGGGGCTGAATAATAAGGCCAATGTTTAGCCTAGGTTGCGGGGCAAGCCCTATAAGATACCGTGGCCTCAGCCTGGAAAGAGGGGAAGGAACGGGAGGGTTTTCACTCAGTAAGAGTCTGACCCTGGGCGAGAGAAGACATTTGATGATTTTTAACCAACAAAAAAGGTGAGAACTAAAATACCTAGCTAATTTTAGCCGAAGAATTAAAAAAAGAAAATAACCTCAAAGACAATATACTCAGACAGTTTAGTTTTGAGTTTAGTATATTATACATATACGTATTTCCTTGATACTGGTAGGTACTTGACACATATGAACAGTTTATGGAAATATAAATAATGTTAATGTATATGGAGCTATTTGCGAACAATTTGCGAAATGACAAAATAGAAATTGATATATTGTCAAATAGATACTTATATCTGCCACTTATTTTTTTTCACATAGGATTTTCTCCTGTGTCGTGGGTGTGTCTACGAACATACAATTTCACATACACATCACACCCAGACAGGGAACTACAATAAATGGATCACACAAAGAGTTGTTCTTTACGGGAATCGAACCCACTACACGTCGCGCGGCAGCTAGTTGAGCAGCTACCGCGCCAGCCGTGCAGTTTATTATAAAATAAAAATTCTTAGGTAGCCTAATAATAGATAGATCTATTATTATCGTGCCAGTTTTCATTAGAATAAGCTGATGTTATTATTTATTAGTATAAATACTTACAATTAATTTAATATTACTTAGGTACCGATCTACTGTTACATTAAGAAAAGAGGTAGCAGGGAGGAGGTAAAAATTTTTTTACTATTTTTAATTTAGGGCAATTTAAATACAAATTATCCAAGTAGGTAGATACGTACTACGATTAAATATCCAAACTCAAACTACATGCTTTAAGTCCAAACGTATACTCAATTAAGATATACAATTAACTATCTGACACAATAAAAGAAGAAGAAAAGTTAAATACATTTGTAAATAAATAAAAAAAATCTTTTTTGTGGCATCAATTATGGACCCTGTTAACAATTGTTACCACCCTTTTATATGTAGAGAGGTACTTATGGTGAAGCAATAATAATATTGAGTATTGAGCACTATTCTATCTATATGTCCTATTAATATTATAAACATGAAAATTTGCAACACGTAACTCTTTCACGTAAAAACTATTGAACGGATCTGAATGGATTTGGCACAGAGGAAGATTATAGTTTGAAATAACACAGACACTTTTTATTATGGCATTGTGGGTGAAACTCTTGGCAAAAGGAAGTGAAACGGAAAAGAAGATATAGATATAGTAAGTGGTCCAGGGTTGCAGGTTTACCCGAGCGTACGGCGCGTAGCGTTCCGCGCGCGCCTCAAAGAGCCAATAGACCACCACAGGCGGGGCCCTATAGGGCTGATGTCCGCCGGGGTTGCGGGATAAGCGCAATTTGTCACCGCCACCGCGGCCTCGGCCCAGAGCAGGAGAAAAAACGGGGGGTTTTAGTCAGTAAGAGTCCTGCCCGACCCTGGGCGGGAGAAGTCATTTGATGATTTTTCCCCCCACAAAAAAGGGTTGCAGGTTTCTTGCAAGAATTTACCGCGGTCCTCGCTTGTAGCAGGAGAAAGAACGGGATAGTTTCTAGTCAGTAAAAGTCTGACTAGCACCGTCTAAGGCGAGAGAAGGCAGCTTAATTTTTTTTCCTTTCAAAAAAGTAGACAGTTAGCTGTAGTCAAAAAGTCAAAAAGTCAAAAATAATTTATTTCAATTAGACCTTTACAGGCACTTTTGAATGTCAAACAAAATTTTGAAGATATAGTGTCAGTCAGTCAGCGATTTATCAAGGTTGGAAACGAAAGATTTGTTTTTCATTTAGATACATAATATAATAAATAAATATAGTCATGTAGGTACTTACAAGTGTCCAAAACGTGAAAAATATAACTCGAGCTTTCAGCGGTATGAACTCAAATTCTTTAGACGGATATTCAATGTCTATGTATTTTTGGTCGTACCAGAATGCGTACGAATATAGGCTGATCACAGCTAAATGAAATAGAACTAGCATTTTGAAAAATTAATTAAAATATTAAAGTTAAAATTATTAATTATTACAACACTTTTTTTTCAACGTCCGTTTCGTTCGACGCCTCTCGCAACACTGTCATGATTTGAAAATCGAACGCTGTTTATTTATTTAGTTGTCCAGCTTTAAATCTTATCGCCCCATTATTGGTTCGATAATGATTTTAAAATACATTGAATTTTATTATGCACGATCAATTTTGAATTTCAATGTTGAGTTGCAATGGTTGCTTTGCTTCTACCAATTTTGGCGTTGGCTGTAAATGTCTTAATATTGTAATATTGGTCTGTAAAAATCTAGATGTTGGTTTAAACTTTTGTGTGATTTGTGTAATAAAACAATTTAAGTGCACATGTACTGAGATGTTTAGATGTCGGTGACTGATTTTTATGTTGACTTTTTATGTGTATTAGGTATGTCTGGTATATTCTTACTTGTCTGTTTCATGAAGCTGTGATTCTCTAGTAAGGAGCTACACATTCGAATCCGGATTGAAATAAAAATTGTCACTTCCAGATTTTCGAAAATTTCTGTTGTAATGAAGCGGTATAGGCTTATGAAAATTGTATGGGACCAATATTAGTTTGATCATCTTAACAACCTAATACTTACAATAACATTAAATGACTGCGCGACATCACCATGACGCGTACGCTGCTCATGAATAAGAGTCCCGATGTAACTTGAAACTAGTAGAGCATCTCTCGAATAATTCACGTGAGTAAGTCGTTACTATACAAAATATTGTTTCTTTTAGTATTTCTAGCAATCCCATCAGATAACACCACGTCTGTTTTTATAAAAAAGTATAGTTACACTGGTGATAAAGTCACCAGATTGTCGTCTGAGGGTCAAGGGTTCAATCGCCACGTGGGACAGTTTAACACAGAGACCAGATAGTATTGTGTGAAAATATAGTTCTAAATAAATTACACAAATTGAGTCTTAATAATAATTGTTTAAAATTGGGAAAAAATACTGACGTTTATTGGGTTTCCTTAGATAACTAGAGGTTTCTATTTACAGTATTTTGTTTTTCTTCTTAATTATTATTGTAGCCTTTGTCATACACAGACAACAACAAACTTGTTGTTGGCGCGTTGACTGGGAAACTGGCTGGTTCGATTCCCGAACGGAACCACTCTTTGTTTTTACAAAAAATCCGGATATTTTTGGGCATCCACGACACAGGAGATTTTTTTTTTAATTTTGAAATGATGGTTATGAAATCTCCAAATCTTTTATCCCAAAAGGTTGACAACGCACTCGTAACTCCTATGTTGTAGCGGTTGTCCATGGGCGGCGCTGATTGCTTACCATCAGGTAATCCGTCCGCTCGTTTGCCGACCTATCAAATAAAAAATTAAAAACTCCAAATCAGTACGAGTAAAGTAAAAGTATAATTTAACAAACTATGTGTTAATCCAAAGTATAACCTATCTTATTCTAAATTTCAACCAAATCGGCCCAGATGGTTTTAGTGAAAGACTAACAAACATACATTCATACATTCTCACAACCTTTCACATTTATAATAAGAAGTACGTACCTACATATTAAAAGGATTTCATCAAAAACCCAAATCCCTTTTCTCCCGCGCAACTAAAGTCACATTGTCGTCGACAATTTTTTTCGACCACAGATAAATAAAATTACAGATAACAATTGCACCTCCGGTTTATGGATAAAAAGGTTCAGAAAGTCATAGATAACGGTCGGGCCATATTCTAGTGTCGTTGTGGTATAAAAAATAATAATGAAAAAGATAAGCAAAGCCGGATGTGTTTCGAAGTTATTACTGATTGGTTTTAATTCTTATTTCTAATCAATTTATCACTATGGAGTTCAGTTCACGTGATTTTATAGTTTAGTGTCCTTTTTTATTGTAAACAGACCTGTCTCATAGTACATAGGACTGATTATAAAATATTTAGCGAAAAATAGGTAACATTTTATATATTAAAAAAAAAATCTAAACCTACTATTGGCCTTGCTTAACTGTATATTGTTTTCTATTTGTAATATGTATGTCATACATATTGTATTGCTGCTAGTTTTCTTTATATATTAAACTAGCTACTCTTGCGCGGTTTCACCCGCCGCCTGCTCGGCTCCATTTAATCGTAGCGTGGTGTTTTATAGCCTATAGCACTCAGGAACATTGTAGCTATCTATCAGTGAAAGAATTTTGGCAATCCGACCAGCGGTTCCAAAGATTACCCCCTATATACAAACTTACAAATAAATGCCTTAGAGTTATTTCCGTGGCAGGGGTTGTGGATCAAGCGCAATAATGTGTCACTGATTTGGCCCAAAGCAGGAGAAGGAATGGGGTGATTTGCTAAGGTCGTGGTTTGTAGCGATCTAATCTGCGACCCCATTTTTTGTCAGTTGAAAATCAGTGAGTCAAAAGGGAGTGTCAGACTCTTACTGACTAAAAACCTCCTGTTTATTCTTCTTTTTTCATCTTCAGCCTATAAGTGCCCTCTGCTGATCAAAGGCCTCTTCTCATACGGAGAAGGTTAGAGCATTAATCACCACGCTTGCTCAATGCGGCGATTTTAAGCTTATAATTAGAAATTATAAGTCCAGGTTTCCTCACGATGTTTACCTTCACCGTATGTCAGTGGTGTCTAAATAATGTTAGAAAGTACATATAACTCGGAAAAATTCACATTGGCAATTGCCAGAAACCAAACCCGCGAGCGAAACGAGGAGGTTTTATCGTAGAAAATGTCTATGGTCATAGTCCACTTGTAGACTGTCGCTAACTGTAAATAATTTGTACTGATGATTAACTCTTTAGCATCAAAAAGGTGAGATATGTGATCGTACGATGTTACTATCTACCTATCTACAAGTATGTAAATTTTTTTCACAGATTGTACTTTGATTATTGATGATCCACAGACATTTTATGACTGATTAAGTACTCATTGGTAATCAACTCAAATGTTTTATGATATTGTAAGTAAATAAGATTGGCGAGAAAAATACCTAATATCAGATCCGTGTTGTAGGTCAGTGTTTCAGTATTAAGTAATTTATAAGATTGTTGTTGTGATTGTTTTTCTCAGCGTGCGCATTTAGTTTTTGAGTCCATGTAGGGATATCTCTTTCTTAATTGGGCACTAAGGGATGGCGGGAAAATCAATATTTTAAAAATAGAAAATGACAACTGAACATTAATGCTAAGCAAGTTTTCTTTTTTAGGAAACAAGCGTCAAATGGGACATGCTGTGAGATAGTAAGTATAGATGTATGATAAAAAACAGGTGTCAAAAATGCATGGTAACCAAAATAAAAGCCATATTTATGAAACAGCATTTTCTGTTTATTTATATAAAATGGAACATGACAAGGACGGATGAAGTAATGAATGAATTTCATCATGAACGAACTGATCATATAACATCACGGCTGTTATTGCCGTAAAGATAGGTAGGGTAGGTGATTGGGTTTGTTCATACTTTTTTATTATTTTTCTTTCGAGGAGGAATAATTATCAAACGTCTCGCTCACAGGGCAATGGAGGGAGTTTCAGACTTTTACTGACTAAAAACCTTTCCGTTCCTTCTCCTGCGCCAGGACGAGGCCGCAGTACCTGACCCGCGATCCCGGCATAAAATTGGTCCTCATCTGTGGTGGTCTATTGGGTCTTTAAGGCGCGTGCGAAACGCTACACGTCGCTCACTCGGGTCAGGTTCTGGTCGGGCGGCGAGCTATCCTTGCTCGCCGTCCACAGAACCAGAGTTTGTTTATACTTGAGACTTAACGGTCACTTTGTTAACAAAGAGACTTTACTAAGACCTCAATAAATTATCAGCAATTTAATTGTAAAACAACGGATTATTAGCTTTAAATAATCTTAAAATCCGTGAACTAAATAGGTATTAATTATAGAACGTATGTGTCATTTATATTTCTTCCATAGATAAACAAAACTTTGGACTTGATATCTGTATGCGAATTTTGACTTATTATTGTTATCGTTAAGATAATAAATTGCAAGGCTGGTACGGGTCCAAAGGTACGTTGATATCACGAAGTAGACTTTGGACTGTTTTAAATAGGAGACAGATTGCGAGCAGACGTACGGTCATTGTAATCTGAGTTCTGACACTAATACTGTTGCTAAATAAAACAGGATAATGCGCTGTATACTTAGTTAATGGGGACACGTTTAAGTGTGGGAGAGCCATGCTTCGGCACGAATGGGTCGGCTCGACCAGAGTGATACCACGGCCTCACAGAAAACCGGCGTGAAACAACTACAGTGTTGTGTTTCGCCGTGTGAGTGAGGTTACCGGAGGCCCAATCCTTCCCCTTCCCAATCCCTCCCCAGTTCCTAAATCTCCAAATCCCTAATCCCTAAAAGGTCGGCAACGCACTCGTAACTCCTCCGTTGCGGGTGTCCATGGGCGGCGCTGGTTGCTTACCATCAGGTAATCCGTCTGCTCGTTTGCCGACCTATTACATAAAAAAAAAACGTAAGATTGTTCATAAACACAATACTTCTGAATATGTCATGGGTTCTCATGCACTGTGCTGCGAAACCTGCCACTATCATCATCTTAACTTAACTTTAGTTATCTATGTTAGGTATATAAAAATAACCCATAACATTTTACTCATATTAAAAAATCCTAAGAGTCAGGAATTTGTACTTTCTCTCGATGAAATTTTAATATATGCAAAGGACAGGTTAATCTCTGCGTGACAGGAAATCCTAGCTACAGGGATTAAGTTATCAACTTACATAAATCAACACTAAGATAGTACCTATGTCATCCATTAACTATGATTTATAATTAATTTATGAATTAAAAGAATAACTGCCGCACTCAAGATATTTAATTACATAAACTTGTATTATACTAATCTTGTATGTATTATCCAAACTTATATTATAAATGCGCAAGTAACTCTGTCTGTCTGTCTGTATTTTCTTCACGACTAAACTACTGAACCGATTTGTATGAAATTTGGTACTGACATAGTTTGGA